AAGTTGTATAAAAAAAAAACTCACAAAAAAAAAAAAAAAGACATGACTGATCTAGAGAAGATCTGTGTGGAGTGTGGGTAAAAATCCCTCCTGCACCGTGTGCAAACCTGGTGAAAAACTACAGGCAACATTTGATCTCTGTTATTGCAAACAAAGGCTACTGTACACAATATTAACACTGATTTTTTTTCAGGTATTACAATACTTATTTGCAGCTGTATCATACAAATAAATAGTTAAAAAATCATACATTGTGATTTCTGGATTTTTTTTATTTTTGATTACGTATCTCACAGTGGATCTCCACCTACGGGTGAACCTGCAAAATAGCAATGTTCAAATACATTTTCACTTAATAAAATTATTAATGGTTAATGGTTTCAGTCCATTGATTTTAAGAGACTTTTTAAAAAGATCCTACTAAAACATGTCAAGATCCAGTTGGTATCAACTGGATCAAATCAGAATTTTTAGAGTGACATTACTTGTAAAACTTGTTTTTATGTAAATTCCAATAGGATAATCTTGGTGCCAAATGAGTAAATTAACAGGCAAAATAATCAAAAGGACAAAGTCAATTATCCAGTTATACTTTTTATTGGTTTTTGGAAAGAAGCAAACTATTTTTTCTCAGTTTATCTTAGCATTGTTATGTTCTGTACAAACAGCTTGCACATGAGGTTAACTGCACAGAATCAAAAAAAAGCATCCTGACTTCTTGCACACAAAAAGCCAATCCCTGCTCATTCCTCAACAAAGGTCAAGTGACACTCAGAAGAACATACCACTTCAGTACTACCTATCGCCGATGATGCCTCGTTTTCTTTTTTTACCGCATGCAATAAATCAACATTTAGAGAAAAATCCATCACAGATGAAGAGCTTGACACTGCCCTATTTTAATTTCATTTTTCGAATTTGAAATGATGTAAACATTGCAACCAATTGTTTTTTTTTCCTTTTGGTCAGGCCTCAAGCTGAAACTGTTGAGTAATCGTAATTTGTGTTTATTCTACATGGCTAGTTTTGGATTTCGTTGGCATTGATAGGTAATGCTGTAGTGACTGTTGTACTCAAAATCTCACAATCCATACAAAAGATAACAGAGTCTGATTTTTTACATGGTTTTCATTCACCATGAAAACATTTATCAAATAAAGGTTTCAAAGGGAGCTAAATGGCACCAATCATTCATTCTACTTCAAAATTAAACTTCAGCCTTCTCTCATATTGGGTCAGGACACAAGGAAAAAAAAAAAAAATACAAAAAAAAAAAAAAATGTTTTAATAAAATGTGCAGTCCAGGTGTGATATCAATAAATTATGTCCATTCAGAAGCACTGCAGAACTCAAAGTATGAGATTTACAGATTTATTCCCCCTCCACACTCTGATTGGTTACATTTAGCAGAATGCAGACAAATAGTGCACTACAAACATTTTCAGGTACACTTCATACACAGACACAGAAACACATACAGACATACACACTTTTCTGCATTTTAAAAATATTCATCTTATTGTCCTCAACATGGGACTGACTGTCCGGGGTTCACACAAACACACACTCTCTTACACACAAACAAATACAAAACGAAACAAAAATATAATTTTGGTCAACTTAACCTTGTTTTACACCGTCATTCAAATCAAGTCATCTCACAGAGACCATTACGTTTATGAAAATTAAAGCCATGGATTCGAGCACTGGCATGATGAATTGGGGGAGCTGCATATAACATATTCTAGGAGTTAGATAGCATTGATGTGATTGGAAATAGCAAAACTGATAAACCAAAGCTGAACACTAACTGAAACTATTTAATCTATTGGATTAGCGCTTCGTTTTCTACTGGGAGGGAACAAGAATCAGGCTGGACCCAGTAAACTTATTTAATTTTTAAGAAATAAAATTTGAAGCGGCGATGCTGCGGCTGAGAAAATTTTTTTTGTTATTTCTGTTGCTGTACATGTAAAAAAAAAAAAAAAAAACTTCTTGACATTTTCTAAAATATTCATTTCGTTTCCTGTCAATTGAACTAATCCTGAATTTTATTGGCCTTGGAAGTTGGCTGTTAAGAGCCTTAAACTGAAAGCAAAGATTTATTCTTTAAATGATCTAACTCGAGGCAATATTGAATTTAAACAGGTTAGTTTAGGGATATCTGACTTTTCTAACTGGGAACTCCAACTTCTGTTGTCTAAGATCCATTTTGCAAGGAAAATAGAACATGTTTAGATATCTTTTAAGCTCAGAATGAAGTTTGTAATCAGAAGGAAATAGCAAACCTACTGTAGGTATGTTCAAAAGTAAAGAGTTTTCTGAGACTAAAATAGACAATGTCAATGGCTAATACTAATGAATGCTAACAAAAAACTTTTCTAATATTGATGTTATCATGTATGTTAGTAAAAGGTTGACAACATTTTAGCATATGAGCAATTAAAGATGTGTAAAACCATAGTTAAAGGGAATCTTGCAATTTTGAACAACTATTTGGTAACCCAGAGGGGTTAATTGATGTAAGACATGAAAGCAGTGGTAAAAATGTCATCAGATTAAACCATTTGTGCTGGTAGGGAGTGGTTGATTGGAATTTAATGGAATACAAAAGCATCCAAACAAGCCTGCTTAGTCTGTATGTAATCCACATAGAGAAGGTTTAAGGTGCACACTAGATTTTTTTTCTCTCAATAAAATAGCTTAATATCAATACTTTGCAGTCAATGAAACAAAATGTGTGACACTATAGGTGCTGGCAAATATATATTTATTTATCAAAGCCAACCACAGGTTTATGCTAAGTAAACTGCATCCAGGCAAACATACAAGGTAGACCTAATGATAACTTTAAAACATTTTAGTGTGTACATGTAAGTTTTAGTCTTTGAAAGTTTAGTTAATGCTAACCAACTAGCTTCATAGATCCTATTTAACTTCTATCTGATGATCCTCTCTACATGCTTTCTGTTCTTTTAGTCAGTATATTGAATGCAGTGCGTTCACGTATAAAAATTTGCTTGATTCACTCAGTCAACAAAGTGTTCAACCAGTAACAGGTTGCCAACTCTATGCAAGACCACAAAAATAGCTCCTATTTAGGAAGACGAGCAAACCAAACCCACATATTCTTTCATAGAAGCTCTCATCTACATCTTATGTTTGCTTCAATCTCCATGTAAAGATGGAACCGCAAAGAGTTTCAAGGAGGCAGATTTTGCTTTCTGTCATACCAATGGCAGATGAGATATAACCAGGAGCAACCTTGTGTTTTATAACTCGTATGTCTGATATTTTGTGAGTGCATACAAACTGAAAAAAACTAAAAATCGCCCCAAAATCTGAGGAAATACGGTATTTTATTCGATATAAGATGAAAAAGATCAATGCTATGCGTCTTAAAAGGCTGTTGTACATAAAAAAAAAAAAAAAAAAAAAGTGTAATCTACACTTTTCATGTTGGTCTAGCTATTTTGAATGTAGCTTGAACCCTAGGGATACAAAGAGAGATTAACAGGAAGATGTAGTTTTCCTCTCTGTACCAGTTTGTTTTTATTGCATTTAAAATATATTACCAGTAAAGGAAGCATAAAACACAACTTATTGAGTACTTAAAGAACATACTGCTCCAATCTTTCTACTATTCAGAATCCAGAAACCACCACAAAGGTTCAGGGAAACATCAAACCATTTTCTGGGTTAAATCTTTTTTACTCTGGTAGGGGGTCAGTGCAAATAAATAGGAATAAACTGGCTTTGTTAGTGAGAACACCATTTCTGTTATGTGATGGACAGGCCATTAATAATGAATGGCCACACCAGGCTGAATTGTAAGCAGGTGGAAGATAAGCTCATAGGGTTAAATGTCAGATCAGAAACAAAGCAGTAATCGCAATACCAAAAAAAATTAGGACCAAATTAGGAAAAAGCTTGAAAAACTGTATAACCTCTTGAGACCCAATCGAGCAGGGCTAGCTGGTTAGCATGAACCTTCAACTGAAAACATCTGCATAAAGCATTGTCAAAGTGTGGATTTTTCTAACTCTACAGTAACACTGCTTTCACAAAGCATAACACAGCATCCAAGAAGATATTCATCATTTTTCTTTAAATTACCCCACAACCCCCACCCATATATAGCTCAAATCTTCTGTTGCACTTGAGTTAAAAAATTATATCTGAAATAAATTCAAAAAATTATACCTTATACTGTACACAAGGTTACCCAACTACACAGATAACAAAAATGCAAGAGAATTCCAATATTTATACATTTAAGGGTTCCAAGTTGTGTGATACCATTCAGATTCTATTCATATACAGAATCACGTTTTTTATTTTACAACAAATAGTCGTCATCGATAAATAAAAATAGAATGTCGTCATGTAACTCTGGTGTCTAACACTGCTGTCCTGGGAACAACAGAAAGGCTATCTGACAATACAAGGAAAACACCAAACGCCCTTTGAGATACATGTTAAAATGACACTGTACAACTCTTTTGTTCTGACAGGAAAACCTGATTTTTTTCTGTTATTTTTTTCAATATTCAACCAGTGAACTGACTCATCAATGCAGCTGCCTAACACTTCAGTACAAGTGTGAAATTAAGAGTGATAGCTTTATCTGATGGTAGCATCAAATAGGATGCAATGAATGTCATAAGACCCTGTAGTACCAGCATGTAATGCTTGGAAAACCTAACCTTATGTAGCCACTTGGATTTGTGTTTAAATAGATTGATACAAACCACTGACAACAATCATTAACAACATGTTTGTTAATAGATTTGTGATTAATCATGATTGTAGAACTTCTTTAGTACCACTGTAGGTACTACAGAGCCCCTAAAGTGACATGGAGGGAAAAAATCGCAAAAATTCGCAAAAGATTTTGCAAAAGTTTTGCAAGATCCCGCAAAACTTTTGCGAAATCTCGCAAAAAATAAACTATTGCGGGATCTCACAAAAGTATTGCGGGATCTCGCAAACGTATTGCGGGATCTCGCATAAGTATTGCGGGATCTCACAAAAGTTCTTTTTTTCCCCTCCATGTCCCTTTAGGGGCTCCGTACGGTACTGGTTTTACTCTTTGTAAACTGAGATGTACGATTGTGGAAAAGTTTGTCACAGAACAAAGGAAAAATACTCTGTCCAGGTCTTCTGTCAGGCAGCTGCAGTGAAAACTTTAACAACACAACCAGACACTGACCAGAGGAGGATGGAGACAGAGGCACAGACTTTAGAGAAGGAAAGAACCCAGCTGTCTAACTGCAGCAACACAAATGTTATGTATGAGATGTGTACAAATACTATAGTTACATGACGTGAAACAGTTCCACAATGCTATACGTAAGTTATACAATACTGCTGGATAGGCTGCAAACCTGTCGATTGGGTTCAAAAAGGGTTACAGGAGTGTCTGGTTTAGGTCTGTCCTCCGGTCAAGCTGCTAACCTTGGTCCACGATAGACGTTCTGTTCAACAGTGCCGCTCTTGGTGGGGGTCATTTTTCAGCCAGATATTTTCCTAAAACATAAAGATAAATTAATTCATCTCTTTATCGGCTTCAGGTACATGTTATATACATGATTAATTTCTGTCTAGCTTTAGATAACCTTTAATGTAAATGTAGGCCTACACCATGGACAGATCGCCAGTCTGTTGCATGAATGATTTTTTAAGTCAAAATACAGTTCCTGATGCTCCATGTGGGCAGCTCTTCTAAAGACTCGCCCAAGTAACTTAAAGCTAAAGCTAAAGGTTGGTGCTAACCAATGTTGTGGGAAATAGGTACTCAACAGCCAGAGTTCTAATGAAAATTAAAAAGAGAGATCATATCTCGCCTATCCTGGCTTCTCTTCATTGGCTTCCTGTTAAATCAAGAATAGAATTTAAAATCCTCCTTCTCGCATATAAAGCCTTAAATGGCCAAGCAGAGATCTGATTGTTCCTTATGTTCCTAACAGAGCACTTCGCTCTCAATCTGCAGGTTTACTAATGGTTCCTAGAATTTCTAAAAGTAGAATGGGAGGCAGATCTTTTAGTTATCAGGCTCCTCTCCTGTGGAACCAACTACCAGTTTTAGTCCGTGAGGCAGACACCCTGTCTACTTTTAAGGCTAGGCTTAAAACTTTCCTTTTTGATAAAGCTTATAGTTAGGGTGGCTCAGGTTATCCTGAGCTATCTCTATAGTTATGCTGCTATAGGCTTAGACTTTTGGAGGACATAGGGACCCCCATTTCATCATTCTGCTTCATTCTCTCTCTGTTCTCCTATTCTGCAGAATCTGTTAGTTCAATCTCTAACCTTCTGCTCTCTCTGCTTTTCCTCAGAGTAGCTTTGCCTCGTCTGTTCCTGTTTGGCTGTGACGTCATCCTGGAAAGAAACATCAGCTGTGCTGCTTCTATCAACACCCTTGTTTATAGATGTTGGAGATCGGCCTGTTTTCCAGTGTGGTCCTGTTTCTCTGACCGTGACTGAGTGGATGTGCTCTCTTCGTCCTCTGGCATGGGAGCTGCCTTGGAGCTCGTCTGCCTGGCTGCGTGTTTCCTGGACGGGGCCGCCTTTTACAGCTGCTTTTTGTATCTCTGCTTCTGTCTCCTTGAACCCCAGTCGGCCTCGGCAGATGGCCGCTCACACTGAGCCTGGTTCTGCTGGAGGTTTCTTCCTGTTAAAAGGGAGTTTTTCCTCTCCACTGTCGCTACAAGCATGCTTAGTGTGGGGGATTGTATTTGAGTCAATGAGTCAATGCAATCAACTGGTTTTCCTTAGATAGAAAACTTTGTATCAATTTGACTGTATGATCTGGTTGAACTGTAAAGTGCCTTGAGATGACATGTGTTGTGAATTTGGCGCTATATACAGTAAATAAACTGAATTGAATTGAATTGAACTATGCCGTCCAGTTTTTTTATTTATTTATTTATTTATTTATTTTTATTTCCTTTATTTAACCAGGTAAACCCCGTTGAGATCTGGATCTCATTTTCAAGGGGGACCTGGGCAGAGATCTGCAATACACTGCAACCTGGTTACAAAAATAAAACCAATAAATACGTATGCACAAATCTAAAAAAATAAATAAAAACAATTTAAAAGCAGTGACACGGTTTCATGGAAGCTTGTTGTCTATCTTTAAGAACCGTTCGAAATAAGCCCAATGAAATAGTGTCTGACATCTTGAGCTCAGACTGGAGCTGATTCCACTCGGTAGGAATCAGTTAAATAAATGGAGATCAATGCATTTGGTTGGCATATTATTTTACTTTGCAAAGTAAAAAAAGAACAAGACAACAGCACTCATTGCATTGTGCTCAGCCCTGTTCTGAGCTAGACAGAGTTTGACTCTCTAATTAACCCTGCAGAAAGGCTCTGAAGGTCTCCATATATCTTTACCCAAACAAAGACGGATTGGTATGAAATAATCCCTGAGAAACAGTCTAGCTTATTACGAGAACAATTAATTTGATCCCAAATGCTCCCTAATGGGATAAACAACCCTGGCTCTCTTAGACACCTTGTACCCTTGCAGTTCTGAGGTCTGAATGAATCTAAAACTCAGCACTCAGAAAATATTAATTTACATAAATATATATAAAAGGGAATTGATAGGAGATAATTTTTCCCAACACCACAACAAAAGAGATATGGGGCTTACACAATCAGACATATTTTTATTTATTTGATCTAGGATTTAATCTGCAGGGGTGAAAGAGGCCTCGTCTTCCCTTGGAACTCAATGACATCTAAATCTACTGGTGAAAGTGGTCGGCTATCAGACTCCAAAACACAGACAGAGACTGGCTCATTATGCCATTACTGCTAGTTACTTTCAGGGGAGCTAAACCTGGAAATTACAGGTCTAGTGCCCCCACTGGCTAAAATTTAAACAGATATATGTACTAAAATATGTGTCTGTTATATCAATAACATATTGAGCCATATCTGTTCACCTAAAACATTATTAAAATGAAAAGTATCATAAGCTAAATACCTATGAAATAAAACAAATATAGTTAGATTAAACTGGTAAAAGTTCCCTATGAAAGTAAAGCTTTTATACATTCAAATGTTTTGGTTTGCTTTTGATGCAAACAAACTGACCTGCAGCAAACCTCTTTTTAACTAGAGAAAAGCGGTATCCTGGTCCAGCCAGTTCAATGTCACATCCTGACAGGTTGCTGCCCTCACTGGTGAACTGCACTGCCAGTGGAGCCGGTTTACTGGGACCCTCTGTTAGCTGGAAGCGTGCTAATAAGGACCCCACACCTGTTCCAAGAAAATGAATAAAGAAAGAATCAGGAAAAAGAAATTCAAATTACCTCTTTCTATATAATAATAGATATTTTTCCAAGGTGAATGTATTTGAAAACACATGATTCAATGGACATAAGTAATCACACTAAATGGCTAATTGATCTAAAAATGCAATGGAAGTGTCCTTCTAACCACGTCTTATACAGTATTATAGATCTAACGAAATTAGTTTGTATCTTGTTTTGAGATTGATATACTTGTTTGAGAATATATATCATAATTTCAAATAGACCTGGTTAGTGATATTGTTTTATTGCGCAGAAAGATTATTACGGTACCTTTTTTTCAATAGAATTAGTAATCCCAGAGAATCTGCTTTTGCTTAGTATATCAATCTCAAAATAAGTTCAAAAAGACATTTTGCTATATTTTAGATTGTTAAACTAGACTTGGTTAGACGGACAATTTTTCACAGTAAATGTCACCTAAACATGCCAGTCGGAATATTCTGATCAGATTTGAGAGGAATTAACTTTAATTCTAATCCCTCTGAGAGGGGAGGTTTTTGCCAATTGACAATCCAATGTATGAAAGTGCTTGCCAGGGTGAATTTATTCTAAACTAACAAGTTTGAATGCATAGCCCACACTTATGCACTGGAAAAACGATCTTGAAATAAGTAAAAATGTCTTAAATTAAGTGTATCCATCCTTAATTTGAGTTGGTAAATGAGACAGTTTGCCAATGGAGTGAGTATTTTTACTCTTAAAATAAGATCATTAGATAATATGCACTTGGAGTAAGAGAATGCAATTATGTTTTCTTATTTTAAGTGTAAATTGTCTTGTTTCATTGACAAAATGTATCTTTTATCTACTCAATCCAAGAACAAATGCACTTATTTTAAGAAAAAAATCACTTATCTGGATTTAAATTTTTTCCAGTGTGTGAGGTATTTCCACTTTGAGTGGCTGGATGCCTTCAGAATATTTTGATTTACATTTTCATGACACATTTTCAGTCTGATCAGTAATTTTACTCTGATTATTTACAGTATCTCCATATATTTTTGTTTTTTAATTACAAACCCCATTTTAACCTGATCATGACGTTTTGTGTAAAGTAAACATGGCTATGGTTGTATAAGTCACAGGTTAAAGGTGCAGTAGGTAACTTTTGTAAAATGTATTTTTAACATATTTATTAAACCACCACTGTATCTGTCAGGACTCTTCCTTCAGTTTATGTTTATTTTTAGTTTCTATGATATTCTGCATCTTTGTAGTTGTTTTCTGTCAGTTTGGTATTTCTTTAGTTATTCTCTGTTGCCCCCTTGTGCCCGTTTCTTCCCCTTTGCTCCCTCCTAGTTAGTCCTTTTCACACCTGCTGGATATCAGCTCATCAGCCCATCCTTTGTTCTGTTCCCCATATATGCACCACCTCTGCAGCTCCTCTTTGCTGGTTTCTTGTTGTTTTGTTGCTTTCTCGTCTCTTTGTTCCCCATGTGCATTTTCCCTGACTTTTATTGGAATGTGTTTTTGTTTTTCAGTATTTTTGCATTTCTCTGGATTTTTGTTAGTCCTTAATTAAATCAGCAACACTCATCTCTACCTACTCATCTCTGCATTTGGGTCCTCAAAGCCTCCGGCCTTACCTGAAAGTATCCTGACGTTAGAATATGAGACAGATAATCTATTAAAAAAATCGATCCCAGTGGCGCTGGCCTCTCTCAATAATAAGAAACAACCAATTAGAGCCAGAAGGAATATTTTTGATGTGTCAATCAGGCTCGTGGCAGTTACACCGCTTACATGAGCAGAGTGTACCATCATACAAAAATAAGAGAGCAACAGGGGCAGGGATCTGTAAGCAATGTTCACAGAGCATTGCACTGTGCAGTAAACAGGTGCTTCTTAAACTATGTGCATTTGGAGAGCAGGGCTGTTAGAAAGTGGTGATGGTTTCATTATTCAGGAAGCATAGACCGGTAAATAATTTGGGCTGCCAGATATTCCTCTTCTTTTGATGCACTGAATAAGAACATTTGCTGAACTTTTATATAAAAGACACTGACATTTTATTAAACATATACATCCAAATACAACTCTCTAATATGTTTTTTTTATTATAAAACTGATTTGATATATGAAATTGGCATTGAAAGAGTAGCCACAACAGCTAGATTTGGTTAATTAAATAAGCCAGCTTGCACATCAAGCATCCAGCAGGCTGAGATGCTATAAGAGCTCAAACAAAATAAAATAAAGATATGTATTTCATGTTCATACTTTTTTTCATTAGTATATTTAATGTGGTATGGCAAGCAAAAGAGGTTATCTGTTTCTCCATATTATGAAACATACTTTGGGGGACGACAGGGCAGTTTCTCGTATTTTAATTTGTTGGTTCTAAGTTGTAAATGATACACAGATTCAAAATGATACAGAAAAAAATGTATTAGTCTGATTTACAGTTTATGTCAGATTTTATTCTATGCGTTGCATTGATTTTCTTGTGCGCGTAGAATGTGCACAAGCACGCAGCTTAGAGGGAACATTGCCTGTATGGTGTCCTTGTTCAAATTTTCAGGCTAAGTCCACTATGTCTTTAGAACCACCTACTGCAGCTTTAATGATAAAATACTGATGCTGGGCATCATTATGTTTCAGGCACTGGATGTTTACAACATTTAGGAGAGTAAAAAAAAGTTTTACTAACACATTTTGTAAATACTTGGTTCAGTTGTGGGACAGCTACAATATGGTCAACTGTTCAGCTGGACCTTGGTTATCATCTGCTTGAAGGTTATGATTGTGTAAGTCTTTCAAAAAGTCCCCAACTGTGCATCAATTAGATCTTCTGATTAGTTTTTTTGGTTCTCACCTTCTTGGCTAATGTTTTGGGATTGTCCATATTCAGATAAAAATAGAATTATCCAACCCCTAACCCCTAACCCTATCCAATTAAGAGAAATATCCAAAACTGGTTACAAAATGAGCTGTAACTTATTCACACTCGAAAAATAAAAGGATTTGTTAGCATACTGCAGCACAAATATCACTACAGTGATCTTTATTTGCAGTTGCAGGGTTTCAGTTTTTAACTGTAGATCCAGATGCAGACAGCAGAGGGCAACGACAGCTTCAAACACAGCTGTTTCCCATGAGCACAAATCATGCCCTAAGTTTTTGCCCTCTGGCTTGAACAGCAGCATTGTAACCCCTTGAGATTAACATGGTTCGGGTTCATCGAGCAATATTTCTGCTTAGATCCGTCTATTTTCAAAACATTATACTTAATGCTATCCTCATAATTACAATGAAAATAAAATTAAACAATTCAAATAACAGATTCTAAGTCTGGTTTGTGGACAAAGAATATCTTCATGCACCCAGATAATTAATATTATGTATATAATTGTAATCAATACAGTTTAGATTAAGAGTTGGTTAACAAATAAATGATCAAAATGATGTTTGTATGTTGCTACCAATGTATGTTGGTACCCACAACAGTCTTTATCTCCAGCAGTTTATGCCATTTTGGCTTCTCTGAGCTCTAAAGGTTTTATTATTGTTAATCCACTGTTTCATTTGTAAAATAAATATGACTTTTTAGCTACTAGACACTAAACTAAAATATAATTTGTGATCAAATATTGCGAAAAGGCTTTCTGCCAAAGAAGAGTCTGTATTACAATCATTAGCTCCTTTCTATTCCCCAAACAGTTACATTGAATTGACAGCCAGAAAAAAACACCACCAAAATACCTCCTGAACATAAAGATTTGGAGTTAGTCAAGCTTTAGGGGGACTTGTATGATTGAGATTGACCTTTAAATTAATATTGAAGGATAGCTGTGCAATAAATATGCAAAAAGCCCCTTTAGGCCCAATATGAAGCAGGGGGAACTTGTTTGGGTGCATAGTTCCATTAAAAAAAAACAGAATATTAAGAAAAACTCTGGTAAAAGCGCTAAAAGGGGTCTTTCAACAGAAAAAATATTCAGAACAATAAAGAAATTATCAATTTGACACCTTATCAACTCATTGTGAGTTTGGAAGAGAGAAAGGCATTAAAAGAGCCAGGATTGTAGATGATCATGAGGATTTGGTCAAAGGTTCCTCCTTCTGTATGTTCCAACCAAGTTAACGGTCATCGGAGTAGACCAAGAGCTTTTCTGTTAGCAAAGAGGGATTGTAAAAGGAACGAGCAGAACAGCCAGCAATAACTGCTCTGAGTGTCATTTTAATAAATACAAATATTTGTTAAAATATCACACCATCCAATTTAAAAACTGCACTTGATTTTAAGTGCATAAAGATTTTTCAGAGTGAGACATTGCGTTAATGCAAAAAATAAATAAATAAATAAATAAATAAACAATGAGATTAAAAGAAAATTAACTTGGGAAGCTTACTGCCTTGTCAGCATCCGTTTGTGGTTTTATTTTCTGTATCATTTACCGTGAAAACAAGGCATCTGATAATTGGTTTATAGATGTTGGAACAAGGAGTATTCCCACAGAAAGAACTTGACTTACTTATTTTTGGTGCAAGTTAAAATATATTAAATTCTGCCTTTGAACCAACAAACAGATTTGACTGCATTGCTATCACAGATGTTAATCATACCTCCGTTTTCTGATTTCTTGGAGATATCAGGGATTTTCCATAAGATTCTCTGCTGCTCTGCATTCCTGTATGCATAGAGGAGGAGACATACAAGCAGATCAAATCAGCGTTCTATACTGTAATAAGCCTACATTGTAAAATTAATGTTTAGATTTAAAACCTAAAGCAAATAAAATTGTTTTTCAACAAACAAATCTAAACAAAGCCGTAAATCATGTACAGAAAGCCTGATCTGTGTTTTATTGTCTGTTTTAATGAGGAGGTTTAAGGAGCATACCATACAGCAGGAGGTAGGATAGCCTGTAATTTGGAAACGCCCCCATCGATTGGAACGAGGAACTGGACGTTGTTTAGAGCAATCGGCGTGGACATGGCCTCCCCGTTGTATTTGTAATCTATCCTCATGTCAGTGCTGGTGGGCTCACATCTCCAGCTCACAGCCAGGTTCAGAGGAGCCGACTGGAGGCCCTTTGTTGATACCTGAACACAGAAATGTGTCAGGTACCCAAAAAAAAAAAAATCACTTTTCTGTGAAAATGTTTTGGCCTCTCACTGTGGAAACATCCAGAGGGCCGAGCTCACCTGATACTTGAGCATGTCCACATTGTAGTATGTCGCCTGCGGCTTCTGCTCAGCCACCTTCTTTAGATGAGATATTAGGATTGGCATATTAACCCAGAAGTCCTTTGCATCAGCCTTGGCTTGTGTGGTGGTGTCACTGGTTGGTGGAATAAAAAAAAAAAAAACACAACAAAAATTAAAACAGAAATGGCACACGTGTCTACTTACTTAAATCAGATCTCTCTCTCTCTCAAAAAAAAAAACAGTTGTGGTTGGAAGGCAGTAAGGAATAAAGTATTATTGTAGTATTGTAAATACCAAAAATCAAGATCAAAATTGCACTTATTCTGTAATTTCTAAAAGAAGGTTATGATACCTGAGATGAGGTAAACTTTGACCTCTCACAAGGTAGACAGCAGCGAAATGATTCTGAATGGTGAGTTCTGCACTGTTAAACATGCTCTAATGTCGGGTTTTTAGCCAACGCAATACTGTGCAAACATAAAAAAAAAAAAAAAAAATATATATATATATATATATATATATATATATATATAAACCTGTGTCTAATCATTTACACAGTCTGACACACTGAGTAGATTGAATAAAATAAACAATAAATTTGTTATTCATTATTTTTTCAAATGTATGATGCCTAAGCTCCTCTCCCTGGTGGTGTTCATACTTCAGATTTAGTCATGTATTATTACTACATTACATAACATAACATAAGGCTTGTCTGAAAAGCACGATTTGATGATGAGTAAATATCACTACAGTTTGCTCATTTCCTGGGTCAGACCTAAAATCATCAGTTTTTTCAGTTGCAGGCTTTTTAATCTAAAATGATTTTATGTGGCATTTTAGTTGTTTTAAGTCTACTATGGTCTACTAAACAAAATGTATACAAACACGTGTTTACATGTTCCTGCTGCACTTCATGAGTGCTGTGTTCAGGACACGTTAAGTGAAAACTAAATGCAAGATTTTTTTTTTTGTGAATTGCGATTAACAGGCATAAGGAAGTATGATAATTTTTTATAACAACATTTTTTGAAATATAGATTTTTTCAAACAGAAAAGCAACAATTTCTTCAATTGTCTTGTAGGTAAAAGACAAGTCAGTAGCCAGCCTTGAGCCAGCTGACTAGCAGTGCACAACAGATGGAAACATAATTTTTAAGGAGGGGTTATAAAATTGCATCTTTTTAAAACTTTGATATATCTTGGTACCAATTAATAAAAGCTTATATAACATCAACCCAAATAGAAATGGAACAACAGCAACTTTAACATTTCATGATTTCTAAAACCCAGAATGAGATCTTAACCTACATATAATACATATACCATAATGTTAGTGTGTAATGTTTTGGTTTGAAGAGGTCACAGGAGGAGGATGCAGTCAATAATCTGTTTAATTGTGAGACTTAGACCTTTTTTTTTTCTTTTGGTGTGTTTTGTTTCTCACTAAAAGAGTGGTGAGTTCACAGTGATGGTATTACCAGCAGAGCAGCTGGGGGTTAGGCAGGACATGCTCCAGTCGGCTGTAGTTGGTTATGCTGAAGGTTAGCACGGCAGGGGATGGGTTATTGGCAAAATGCCGTGTAATTCCCGCCGGAAACGATAAAACCATCTCACCTATGATCTTTACAACACACCTGGAAGAATGAAAAAGTCGTAAGTCAGACATAAACCAAACCCCAACACTTTGTAATAATCTTAATTGTGTCTCCTTTCCTTTTTCCTTTCGTAATTTAACTAAATAGTAGCTGTGCTTTTGTCTCCATTTTAAAATGGAATAAAATCAGTTTTCAGTCAGTATAAATTAAGAAAAAAAATAATTTAAGTCACACAGAAGCAATGCAAACAAAAACCTGAATAACATAAGGAAATATATTTTAAAAAATGCAAACCAACTTTGTTACCTATTAAAAATATAACATTCTTAATATATCAAAAGAGTGATACAGTGGGGAAAAAAGTAGCAGCAATATCCTTTTTTTCCTAATAACTAAGAAAGCTGCATTCTGAAATTCAAAAAGGGAAATAGTGATAAATGTTTCTAATGAGGCATGACTCCAAACAACTAAAGTTGCTCTGTTCTGTACAAGTACTTTCTCTAAGAAAAGCTTGAATGAGTCCCTGAGGTTCCCATAGAAGATCTTCTTTACACTTGGAGATGTTGAAAACCAACAAAATCAAAACCTTGACTGGAAGTCTAAAATGCACCAACTATCTTAACCATCGATGCTACACAGGGGGCCAAAAGGTGACATATTATTCAAAACATCTTGATATCATTTACATTAGTTTCTTTCACATAAAAATTCACAAAAATTTTTTAAAAATTGCGTATGCATGAATACATACTTGCTGGGGTCAGCTCCTTTAAACAAGGCATTGACTGTTTCTGTGAAAGCAGCAGCAACAGGAAGTGTGTCCTGGGCTCCCATGGTGAGAGGACTCGGTCCTCGGGAGCAGCCTAAAATCAGGACAAAGCAACACACAGAGTTAATCTTATATGGTGCATAATGAACATACAGTACAATCTAATCAATTTAAACATATACTGAACATTAAATGGTGATTTTTCATAATTTTTTTTCTTCAGACAGATATGCAACTAAACATTTCCAGGCCAGGAATTTACACTCTTCCTATCCAAAAGTGCAAGAGTGAAATGAAGACAAAACGAGTACAGGCGGTGAAATGACATGACATGAAAGATCACACAAATATATAATGAAGAGAAATACAAGTGTTAGTAAGGAAGAACGGCAAAGAACACACAGATACGACACATTTCTCTCTGCTTTTTGACTGAGAAATATCACCTTCACAAGTACATTTTTATTCATTTGCGTAGCTCATAATAGAGTGAAGTTTCCCCCCCACTAAATAAGCATTGCTAGGTGCAAAAGATGAGAGCAAGGCAGACTGAGAGAAAGAGAGATATTTGCATGCTTATTCCAGATGTTTTTAGCTGAAGTAGTTCGAAAAGATCCTAAAAAAATAACATCTAGAAGACCACCGAGGGAACAGGTCATGACAAATAGATTAATAAAGTGCACAAAGAAAGATGAATCTTCAAGGAATAACAGGTCAGCGAAGATGAAATGAGACCGAACAATATTAATAGAGAAAAAAAAGAGATAATATCGAAAGAGATAGTTCAGTACACAGGAGTAATGCTCAGCCACATATTTAAATGATGAGGGTTAGAAGATGGAGGGATTTCTAAAGGGTGGAGGTTTAGGAAAAGGGCAGGGCAGAGGAAGGGCCAAGCTTGCACAAATGAGTCTCAGAAGAGTGTTTTTATGTCGGTGCACGCTTCCCTGGTATCGAGCAACTTACCTTCAAAGGTTAAATAAAACTTCCCTCTGTCAAACCAAACAAGGGATGGCTGGTCATTCTCTGTGTGGGGTGGAGGAGGAAGGGCCAGTGAAGGGAAGGAGGTAGAGGGGATGAGAAGGTGGGAGGTGGGTGAGGAGGGGGAGAGAAGGACAGAAGCATGAGTCTCACATGGAAAGTCTATCACACGTCACGGTGAAGTGAAACGTGGGAGGTGAGGGCCGGGTGAGAGGAGAAACAAAGCGCTGAGACACCGCCAGGGCGGAACACGTGACAAGATGGGAGAGACGCCATGTTTTCCAACACAGGTGAATGAGACTCAGGTAGAGCTGGGGACCAGCCAGCTGCTGCTGGGACTTGGTGGGGATACATTTAAATATTGAGTTGAGCTAAACAGGAGAGGAAATCTCAAATGATCAAATACAGAGATAACTTTAATCTGTTGTATTATGACTGCTAGTCTATGACCATGTTCTTTTGTGCAACCATGATCTGTTGGGGTGTTAACTCCACTAGACCTCTTAGGATGGTAGAGTCAGTATGACATCAAGATGTTAGCAGTCAATCCTTCATGTCCTGAGTTGAGAAGTGGGACCTCCATGGATCACCTTTGCTTTCTTAGCAGATCACAGATATTTTTCTGAACTGATTTCTAAACCAATGCAATGGCAGTGTGTGTAAGGGGCTTCTACTGTATGAAAGGAACAACGCCAACATAGACAGCACAGGAAATGACTAAAATGTCATATTTACTCTGTCAGATTCACTTATTTTTCCTATAGGAACTTATACCATAGGATCACCAGGTCTGCCTCTGCCTGAGGTCTCTCTTGAAAAGGAGATTTTTAATCTCAAAGGGAATTTAAGGGTTAAAAAAAATCTTGCACATCCCCCAACAATTTGTGTTACAGTTTGGATTCACACATGCCCTTATAGGTGGATCAGGTGGTTCTGGGGTCAGCATGGGCATACTCGGTATCTTACGACTATTCACTCATTCATAGGAAGCTAACATGTATTTTATTCAGATGCCTTTCTATCAGAAACAACACTAAGCTCTTCAGTGGTACCAGCAATACTAACTCAGCTGTTGAGAACCAGCTTTCACTTCTGAATGCACCCCTATATAAACATAACCAACAATGCAAAAACTTCACAGAAGCTACAATTTTATAGATGGGTGGACCCAGTAGTCACAATGAGGCCCCAATATCCCCAGCTATCATTATGAGGTATGTGTGACTCATGTCATTAATGGTCATAGTCTTTAGCGTTTTATACACCTTTCTTATGCAAATCTATGTTTAGACTTTCATAAAGATTACCTTCTTCACATTATAAAACAGAATTGATGGATGCAATAGATGAATGATGCTTTAGATGGCAGTATTGGCAGCTAATTGGTACAAGTGGAGAACAGGATCCCACATTTTAGGTGCTTTGCCTTAAAAGTCCATCAGACAGCTACAGCTGGCCTAAAATGCTGCTGCCCGTGTTCTCACTAGAACTAAGAAAGTAGAGCGCATCAGCCCCGTCCTTCCACTGGCTCATTGCAGCTCAGAGAATAGACTATAAAATCCTTCTCTTAGTCTATAAATCACTGAATGGATCAGCACCTCAATATATAACATATTTGTCATCAGTGTAACCAATGTGCAGCTATATTATAGTTTTTTATTTATTGACTGTGCAATATCCTGTGCAATATGCTGAATGTGCAATATTTCTCCACCTGTATCTACAGGTGCTGGTCATAAAATTAGAATATCATGAAAAAGTAGATTGATTTCAGTAATTCCATTTAAAAAGTGAAACTTGTATATTATATTCATACATTACATACAAACTCATATATTTCAGATGTTTATTTTGTTTAATTTTGATGATTACAAATGACAACAAATGAAAATCTCAAATTCATCATATCAGAAAATTAGAATATTGTGAAAAGGTTCAAAATTGATGGCCCCTGGTGCCACACTCTAATCAGCTAATTAACTCAAACCACCTGCAAAAGCCTTTAAATGGTCTTTCAGTCTAGTTCTATAGGCTACACAATCATGGGGAAGACTGCTGACTTGACAGTTGTCCAAAAGACGACCATCGACACCTTGCACAAGGAGGGCAAGACACAAAAGGTCATCGCTAAAGAGGCTGGCTGTTCACAGAGCTCAGTGTCCAAGCACATTAATAGAGAGGCGAAGGGAAGGAAAAGATGTGGTCGAAAAAAGTGTACAAGCAATAGAGATAACCGCACCCTGGAGAGGATTGTGAAACAAAACCCCTTCAAAAATGTGGGGGAGATTCACAAAGAGTGGACTGCAGCTGGAGTGAGTGCTTCAAGAACCACCACACACAGACGTATGAAAGACATGGGTTTCTGCTGTCGCATTCCTTGTGTCAAGCCACTCTTGAACCACAGACAGCGTCAGAAGCGTCTAAAGAGAAACAGGACTGGACTGCTGGTGAGTGGTCCAAAGTCATGTTCTCTGATGAAAGTAAATTTTGCATTTCCTTTGGAAATCAAGGTCCCAGAGTCTGGAGGAAAAGAAGAGAGGCACTTCATCCACGTTGCTTGAAGTCCAGTGTAAAGTTTCCACAGTCAGTGATGGTTTGGGGTGCCATGTCATCTGCTGGTGTTGGTCCATTGTGTTTTCTGAGGTCCAGGGTCAACGCAGCCACATACCAGGAAGTTTTAGAGCACTTCATGCTTCCTGCAGCTGACCAACTTTTTGGAGATGCAGATTTCATTTTCCAACAGGACTTGGCACCTGCACACAGTGCCAAAGCTACCAGTACCTGGTTGAAGGACCATGGTATCCCTGTTCTTAATTGGCCAGCAAACTCTCCTGACCTTAACCCCATAGAAAATCTATGGGGTATTGTGAAGAAGAAGATGCAATACACCAGACCCAACAATTCAGAAGAGCTAAAAGCCACTATTAGAGCAACCTGGGCTATCATAACACCTGAGCAGTGCCACAGACTGATCGACTCCATGCCACGCCGCATTGCTGCAGTAATACAGGCCAAAGGAGGCCCAACTAAATACTGAGTGCTGTACATGCTCATACTTTTCATGTTCATACTTTTCAGTTGGCCAACATTTCTATAAATCCTTTGTTTTTATTGGTCTTCAGTAATATTCTAATTTTCTGATATGATGAATTTGAGATTTTCATTTGTTGTCATTTGTAATCATCAAAATTAAACAAAATAAACATCTGAAATATATGAGTTTGTATGTAATGTATGAATATAATATACAAGTTTCACTTTTTAAATGGAATTACTGAAATCAATCTACTTTTTCATGATATTCTAATTTTATGACCAGCACCTGTAAGCCATCCGGATTGTACATATTTTTATTTCTTATTTTTATTTTGTTTTTCATTGTGTGCGATACAGGTACACTTGCACCTTAATCCTATTTATCTTGATATACTGTATATACCTGGATATAGGGTGTATATATATTGCTTATTCTTAATGCACCTTTTTCCTCCATGTTTGCACCTTCTGTAACTTCTATGCCAATATGTGACAAGTGAATTTCTACGCTGTGAGATCAATAAAGCTCATCTAATTTAATCTAACCTCCCAGACCACTCAGATCCTCTAGTTCCTGCCTACTCTGTTCACCCAGAACTAGAACAAAACATGGAGAAGCAGCATTTAGTTCCTATGCTCCACTGGTCTGGAACAAACTCCCAGTGGGGAGTGTTGGTCTAGTGATTAGAGTAGTGCGCTTGTGCTTGTTCCCCACAGCGTGCACTCTGGCTCCCTGAGCAAGACCCTTCACCCAACACTGCTCCCCGTGCACTGCACAGTGGCAGCCCACGGCTCTCAAGGGGATGGGTTAAATGCAGGAAGTGAATTTCTCCGTTGTGAGATCCATTAAGTTCAATATATATCTAAAAGACTGTAAAAGTGCTGAAGGTCTGAGTTCTTTTATATAAAAGTTGAAAACCCTTTTGTTCAAAGCTGCTTTTGACTTTTGAAATTAAACTGTTAACTTAGTTTACTTTGTGGTCCAACTGTTTTATTTGTTTAACTACCTGATTTTACCATGTTTTTATCTTTATTTTATTCTGCTTTTATTTTGCTTAATTCATGTAAAGCAGTTTGAATCGTCTTTGTACTGAATTGTGCTATATAAATAATCGTGCCTTGAACATGCTTGAAAGAAAACAGACATCTGAAGGACCCCAAGACAAGGCTATGTTTGAACAGACATGTTCACAGAGAAAATCAGCCATGACCTCATAAAGTACTGATAAACTACAGTCACAAAAGTTTTTCTAAGACCACTACTTTGAGAACAGATCAGGGTAGAAAATATTCTTTAAAAAACACTTTGTTTCTTTAATATGTAGTGAGAGAATGTGTAGTTGTTAGTGGAGAAAAACCTTAATTAAATTGCAATCATATAGGCAAACTGGAACGAAACGGTTGTGTGTGGGGAGCCAAAACATGACCTGGAACTTCAAACCACCAAACCACACTGTTTTCTTTTAAAACTCTGGATTGTTTGACAGTTTCAGGTGGCCAAAGATAAGAGCAATAGAAATATCAGAATAGGAGAAGACAAAATTATGGTGCAACTAGGATGGTTCTTTGTGCCGGTAAGACATCAGCAAGAAAAGCTAAATGCACAATTATTCTTTAATCCTGTCAGGTTATGTGTTTGAGCAAAATGTTGGTTCCTGCATATCCTACATTTGTTGTAGAGTAATAAGCAAATCGCTGCTGTTGGAGGAGTAAACCGACCAAGACTTTAGAGAAATGGAACAAAAGAAGCATAATGTGTTATGTGGCAAAACCAATATAAGGCCTCTTGATGTTTTTGCAGGGATAAAAGGTTTCTATGGCTGGGAAGCGCACGAGAGACAGATGTGAAAGGTGAAAGTTCCAGATCAAGGTGCATCAATGAGGCCAGGTACGCTTAAAACTTGTTCACCAGTTATAGGGAGGCGAAGGCATGAATACCAAACAGCTGCCTGTCCAATTCAACCCGACTCTTATGCAAGACTTCAAAACAGGCTCCGACAATGTGTGTGTGTTTGATCTCAAGGACCCAATCATGAGGGCCCTTCAGACTAGTCCACACAGAAAATCAGCAGACAAAACATTTTGTGTTGAATACAGAAAGCAAAAGTATCTAGGACGGACTTTGCTGCACAAGAAAGGAATCTTGTGAAAGAGATAGGTGGCTGCCATGGTGACAAAGCAAGGCAGTCAGTGGTGCACAGTCATAAGACAGAGAGAAAGGTCTCACAAGCAGACAGATGAACGAAGCAACATAAAGTTGTTTCAAAGTATCAACAGTTTAACTGTAGGTTTCATTATTAGTTGCATTTCTTGACCGGAGGGAGAGATAAACGGGGTGAAAAAGAAGTCTGTGTTCTTAGATGAGATAAAGACTAAATTTCTTTGAATGTGTGGGAAGGTATGAGCTGGCAACTGCAAAACAATGAGAAATGATTTCACCAAACAGTTAGAGGAATGACAGCTGAATGTGTGGAATGTCTTTACATTACAATAACAAAAAAACAGATGTAAATGAGGAAAAAAGGTATTTCAACAATGGCAGAAATGGCCTTATTTGGACTATCTGGTGTGTGCATTTGCCCTAAAAAGCTTTATAGAATATTTTAAGCTGAAATATTTTTGAAACAACTGCTTAGTTTATTGTTAAAATACCTTCATTTTTCACCTACATTGCACAAAGGGGCAACAATAACACTCAGGACTGGCCTTAATGGTTCTCAACCAGGTCAGTTTTAGCCAGAAATCATCAAACGGATTACAAACTCACAAAAAAACACTTCCATCCTACACCTTATAAAATGCCATTAAGTCAATATAAAAAAATACCTTCAAAAGCACAAAATAATATTTAGAAGGCAAAGAAAAGTTTACATACATTCACTGTGTGCATGTAGATCTGAAATATTGGGCTTTAAAGTAAACATCCACGATTTTTTACAATGGAGTGATCAAACGACAATCAGCTGGGAGGAAATAAATGCAAAATACAATCAGAGTTAAAATTATAAATATGGAGTCCAATAATGTGTGCCTTGCTATATTGCAGCTCAACCCCATACTTTCTATAATTATAGGCAAGCTTTAGTAAAACACTGGATAATTTTATCTTTGTTGAGGTCAACAGTAAGAACTTATCTTGGCTAGGAGAGGAAGTCTGGACAGCTGTGCTGAATCCGGACAGCCCTCAGCCCTCCAGATGCCATTACATGACCTAAACTCACATGGATGGTGTGTGTCCAATATGGGGCTACAGCCATATGGAAAAGAATTAATTCAGATTGAGCTATTGTCATTAGTGTTTGATCTCTTATCCTGTCAGAAATGAGTTTGTTAAAATAGGTTGGTTTCCTAATAAGAATCAGGTCTACTCTGTAAACATGATCACACATTATTAGTAGGATTGGTAATCAGTTATTGAAGAATCAAACTTCACCTGTTGTATTCATTCCATTAGATGAACATTAAAGATCATTATCAAAGGAAACTAGAATGTAAAGTTAATAAGAAGTTGTAGAATATAAAAGTAGTACTTTCTTTATTTCATCCAATTAGCTGAATGAGCCCATAAATCTAGTAGGAAACCTTCCCATGATTTGATGTTTCCTCTACCATGCTTGACAGTTGAGTGAGTCCTCTTTTCTTTTAGGAGGCCTCATATTGAAGATGTTCTGATCAACATGGATAATTAAGTGAGGGTTCAGAAAATCAGGCTTTTGGAATGGCCAACAACCTCAAACTTAGTGAAAGCTAAATCTATTCCACTGAGTGTTAAACAAATCTACCAAGAAGCTGGTTAAGTAATACAAAAAAAAATTAAAATGCATTTAATGTGGAACTTGCAAAGATATTTATATTACTATATAAGCTGGTATGCATAATTTAAAATCTGTGCGGTTCAGATGAAATCAGAAACAAATGTTTTAAAAATCTTTTTTCTTCTAATCTATTCAAATTGAATGTTATATAATTAATGCATCCTAAAGGAAGAACCTTGATGGGCATCTTTTAAGAAGCAAGATTTAAAGAAAACCTATAACATATAAACTTTTCTGCATTACTTTAAACTAATTCGAGTTGGACAGAAATCAACTGCAGTGTTTATAAATATGAAATACATGCAAACAGTGATCCAGAAGTAAGGTTTTCTTTGTCTTTTATGTCACATTGGTTTATTTCCCTCTTAAAAGGTCAGAACACAGTTTTTTGTTTGGTTCTGAAAAGCAGCATCATCTTTTGTCAGGTAGGATTTCATTAAGGTGAATAAATATTAATGAAAAGGTGATTCATTTCATATCAACCTAATTGGCATTTTACGTGTCCCTGCACCGCCCCAGTTGCTCCTTTAGACGCAAACTTTACCTGCAAATGAATCAAAGTGTCTCTCAAAGGTGGGCAGTTTGTCTACATAAGCATCATCTTCTGACAAGCCAAAGAGGAAACAAAGGGAAAACAGCAAAACAAACAAACAAACAAAATTAAACCAAAAGTAGTAAAATAAGCATACAATCAAGCATTTAAATAAAAAAGGCAAAAATGAAATAAAAAGCAGCAGAAAATGTCACTGTTAAAAGCAGAGGAACGACTACTATTAAATAGAGCTTGGATTTGTATCTTTTTAGATAAATAGCAATAATTAAATGTGTGTAAATTATGGGAAGATTGGAAATTACCTGTTAATCTCTATTATTGTTGCAATTCATTAGTGTGTGATTCAGTGAAGTTGTTTAGCTAGAGTCATAGTAAAACAAAAACACAAAACCCCAGTCTGCCTCGGCAGATGGTCGCTCACACTGAGCCTAGTTCTGCTGGAGGTTTCTTCCTGTTAAAAGTGAGTTTTTCCTCTCCACTGTTGCTACAAACATGCTTAGTGTGAGGGATTGTATTTGAGTCAATGAGTCAATGCAATCAACTGGTTTTCCTTAGATAGAAAACTTTCAATCAATTTGACTGTATGATCTGGTTGAGCTGTAAAGTGCCTTGAGATGACTTATGTTGTGAATTGGCGCTATATAAATAAACTGAACTGAATTGAAAACTAGCTATTATGGCCTCATAAAATGATCTAATTATAACCTCCAAAAAATCCCATAAAGAGACATTGATTCCTCTTTGTAATTACTTGGTGAAAACAAACTTTGTGGATTAAACTCATGCCATACTGCAGTCACAAACCCACATGAATTCATACACCGATATGCAGATCAGATGGTAGCTTTGGGCCTTGTTGCAGGAGGAAGTTAGAACCAAACCTACAACTTTCCAAATGATCCTCAATCTGAAGAGGAACAGCTGTGTGTGAAAAACTGAGTTACTTCCAGACAGATTGAAGAGGAAAAAGTAGCAGTCTGTTTCTGCTAATAAAATACGCATCAGCATGTGTGACCTACAGTAAACATCAGGTTTTAATATTTTGTTTAACTATACAGGTGTTTGTTATGAATAACACCGATGATAAAGAACATAAATAATGACCCTAGAGATGCAAGAGTAAGTAGACTAACATTAATCTGGTTATAAACCAATATTTGTCTAATGTAAAGCCAACCTGCAAGTTCAAACGCTTAGAGAAATCACAAAACGTCCAAAACCTCCATCAAATATTCAGCCCGGCCTTAGTTGACATGCTAAATGCTGAAGCTAATAACTAATTGCTTTGATCATTAAAAAATTAGGAATTTCCAGCTAAATCTGTTTAATATGGAGGATAGAACTAAAATACTTTGCTGTAACACACAGCAGTTACAGAGAAAGTCAAACAGGTCATATCATCATAAACACCTCATATCAACTGTAAAGGAAGCAGATGAATGTTTGGGCTGGTTTTGCAGCCACTGAACCAGGGCACATCTGCAATCCAGTCTCAACTATAAACTATTCAAAAGCATTTAATTATTAAAGAGACAAATGCGAGACCATGTATCCGACAGCTAGCATTTGGACCTAACTAGGTGATGAAACAGAAAAACAATCTGATACGGCAGAAAATGAAGAACAGAATGGCTGACAAGGAAAATCAAGGGTTACGAGGGCTCAATACGTCAATAGTGGGATGTTAAGAAGAAAGAAATGTAAACCTCAATAAATTGACACAATTTGGTGAAGAGCCGTGAGCAACGGCGATGAAAGATCGATGAAAGAAAACATTGTCAGTGTATTGGGTGTACTTAATTTTTAACACACAGCTTTTCCACTTTGGTTTAACCCTTATTTCATGAGTTATTATATAGTAGAATGTATGATGTGCTGATTCACACTTAGGGTGCATAATATATGAAATTATTTTAAAGCCTGTTAAATATCCGATCCTATATTTTCCTAATTATGATTTCTAAAACACTGTATTTCAAAGGCTGGGTACTTTCTTCTAGAAACAGGTCCTTGAGAAAAAAAATCCCCCTGCACTCTGCGTTTTTAAAAGCTCCATGGTGTTTATAATTTTTTCATCCAATGACTTAGCCATGTTAAAGCCCACTGAGATTAGATTTTATCTACTCCTAACTCTGCACTGCGGGCTCCTCTACGTGTTAGATCAGGGAATATAAGGTGTTTGGCTGCTAACTCGAGAATGTATATGAGTGAAAACCAACACCCTGCTTCGTAATCTCATGTACCACTCATGTTCTGCAAGTTTGCAAACATAAACAATAATCAACCCAAATGCTGGTGAAGATTCTCAGTCTTCCAGGTCATAGTCATTCAAAAAAAAAGGGAATGAAAAACAATCCACTGGACTTTGTTTCCAAGTTTGAAAACGTTTCGCTTCCCATCCAAGAAGCTTTTTTTTAAAAAAACAATTAAAAATGTCAGGAATAGCGTTGAGTTCAAGGCTTTATACAGTAGCTCAACAAAGCCTTTTTTGTGTTTTTAAAACATGTAAATTGAAACGGAAGAAGGGGTCCACCACTTTGGAATGGGGGTCGTTTGGCTTCTTTTGTTAGCCTGCAATGCCCCATACCCGGCTAACGCCCGGCATACACTGCGATTTTTTTCAATCGTTGCACGCAGCTCCAGCTCACAGCTTATATTCGGCTCGACGCTCTGATGCGATCTACCTGCTCACACTGTATGTCTAAAAACCACGTCGGACTCAGCTCCGCAGTGAGATGGAGCTACACAGACTCGTCTATCCGGAAGCCAAACAAATAGAGAGGGGAATATTCAGCTCATTAGAGTGTAATTTGTGCAATTTTGTCCTGAAAGCCTTTTTTTTGTTATCTATTGACTGTGCAATATTTTGTGCAATATACTGACTGTGCAATATATGTCAATATAATAGTCATACCACTACCTCACCAGTGTTCCTTACCTACTACACTTTAATGTAAAAGTCACTCCACCTGTATATAAGCCATCCTGATTGTACATATGTCACCTCAAATCTCTGTGTTACTCCCTTGTATTTTTTTGTTCTCTTTTATTTTTTTTTATTTTCTTATTTTTATTTTTTTATTTATTTATATTCCTAATGCACCTTTTTCCTCCTGGTTTGCACCTTCTTTAATTACTATGCTAATGCTGTATGTGACCAGTGAATTTCTCCGCTGTGAGATCAATAAAGCTCATCTAATCTAATCTAATCTAAAAAGAAAAGGTGACATGTTTGGAAAAAAGACATGGCTGAGCAAAAGTGGCTACTACGGTCTGTCAATTCTACAGAAAGAATTCCATTTCACTCATTGCATCCCTGCCATGCTGCTGGGTTTACATCTGAGAGGAAGAAAAAAAGAAAATCCTTGTCTGTGGATGCCCACTGAGCGATTAGCCCACAACGGTAGGGAGAAAATCAGAAAACCAAACAGGTTTGATTTTCACCCAACCTCACGATTCCTGATCGGGAGGTGGTCATGAGATGCTTATCGCCCCCCCTTACCCCCTGTACACTAAACGATGAACGACTCAAGAGCAGGCTGAAAGTCGGCAATTCGCAAGACTGGAAAATTGCCCCAAAAATCACAAAAGTGTACGCCCGGCTTAAGTGTCTGAAAGGGGGGGTAATCAGCCAGGCCAACAATACCCCTTAACGACCCCCCCCCTTTCAGACACTTAGACGGGTATGGGACACTGTAGGCTCATAAAAGAAGCCACGCAACCCCAAAGTGGTTGACCTTTCGCCCACTTCACTTTGCATGTTTTAAAAAACAAAAGCAAGTCCAGTGGATTATTTTTTATTTTCTTATTTTTGGAATTAGCCAAAATCACACCAGATGATTCTCAGTAAAGCATTTCTACTATGAAAATGTCACTTTTTTTCACTTTAACTTAAACACAAAAAAGAAAGAAAGGGGCAAATAACTCAAGCAACAAATAAATGAGAAAAAGCAGGGGTTGAGTTCAAAAATAAATAAAAAGTTTAATATTACAAAAGTACAGCTGAGAGCTAGTTGTTTTTAGCAGAACCTTCAAGCTGCAGAGCTTGTTCACACACCTGACACAGAAACACACAACTCCTTGCTGACAGTTGGTGTGGTGGCGGCACTCAGGGAGTTGGTGGAGGAGATTGAGGAGGTGCTCTCGGCTCGCGCCAACGGGGCAATGGGAGGGGGACTTGCTGAGTGGATTGGTGGGCTGAATGGCCGACTCTAAAAATATCCACAGGAAAAAACAAAGGAGAAAAATCAGCTTTTTGTTGAAAACTTTTATGGGGTTCTGCTTAAATCAAAATATAAAAACATGTTTCGCTTCTAATATTTCAAATCCAATGGATTCTTATTTACAACAGAAACCAATTAATTAAACTACTTCTAACTTGGTTAATAACTGGTTATAAAAAAGAAAACTTAGATCTTACCACATCTCCAACAGAAGGTTTTCCAGGAGGAAGCTTGGGTCGCGAAGGGGGGCGAGGCGGAGGTGGGGGTGGGGTTGGATTGATTGATGAGGGAGTGGAAGGTCTGACAGGTGAGGAGGAACCTGCATATGACATACACCAAGCAAAGGCCCAAAATTAGTTATGTAAAAAGATATAAACAATGACACTGATTTATATTTCTAATAAAGCTCATTAATTTAGATGAACTCCTGGATGGACAGCCTACTGCACATTTATTTGCAAACTTAGCAAAGAGACACTTAGTTACAAAATTGGAAAGTAACGGAATGTCACACTGATAAAAAAAAATAAAAAATCAAACCTTTAAACAGTGCTTCAGTCTTGGGCGATGAAATTATCACTATTGCAAACCAAATATTTATAAAATACTTAAATCTGAAATTATTTGGCAAACTAAATTCCTAAAGAACAAATACCATTAAATAAGCTAAACAGCATAAGAACTTAACTAGTCATTTATCAATTTAATATATGCAAATTTTTTTAACATAACAGAAAACAATCTGGAACTCTGAAAAACTAAAGATGGCCGACAACAATCGTTACTATTTAAGAAAGCAAAGAGGGTTGAAAGGGAAATAATGTATTTTTATCTAGAGCTCTTTAAGTCAAAAAGTTTTCATCTCAACCATAAAACAGCAGCGGATAGTTTCATTCTCCTATCTTCACAAACGGCAATTACTGGAGTCTGCTAAACTTTGCTCACTATATATGTGGAAAAGCTCCTCTTGTGCACTGATCATTATAGAGAAGTTATTAGATCATGTTGGCCAGTTTCTCTTCCAGAAGTACATTATCATCATATCTATGTTGGAGATTTAAATCCTTTAAAAAAATCTTTGGAGTGACAGAGAGAAGCGTGCACACGACAGAAACCATGATGCTGGATGATTTATAGCGATGGTTTGGAAGAGGTTGAACAATTTAATGATAGAAAGGTTCAAAATGTGACATCAGTGATTTAGTAACAGTTATATTTTTATCGTTGGGATGTTTCACTTCCAAAATACATGTGCACAAATTAAAGATAGTATTTTCCAAATCATTCCGTGTAATATTAATTCATTTTAGAAATATGTGGAAATGTATCTGTGAAAATACTTATTACTCCAACAAACAGATGTATTATGGTGGTGAAGATTCTCAGTCATCCAGGTCATAGTCATTTAAAATTGAAAAAGCTTCCTGGATGGGAAGCGAAACGTCTTCAGAGTTCGAAACAAAGTCCAGTGGATTATGCTGATGAAGATTCCCAGTCATCCAGGTCATAGTCATTCTGTAAAAGTTTAAAAAACATTCCGTAAAAGTTTTAAAAAAACAATCCACTGGACTTGGTTTCCAAGATTTGAAGACATTTCACTTCCCCTCCAGGAAGCTTTCTCATTTCAAATATGAATTAAGAAAACCAAGTCCAGTAGATTGCTTTTTAAACTTTTATGGAAGTCCAGTAAATTGCTTTTTTAACTTTTTTGAAACACTGTTAAATATCTGCTGTATGCACCTTGATGCTGTATCTCTCCGGTTCGTTTTCCTGAAAAGAGATCACTGTGCAACCAAATCCTTTCATTTGTTTAAAAAAGTGCAACATTGTTCTGGTCAACGCACTACAACAAAGTATTAGGGCCAGGCTAGAGATTTTTTTTTCTTTCGAGAATAAAGTCGTAACATTACGAGAATAAAGTCGTAACATTGCGAGAATAAAGTTGTAACATTGCGAGAATAAAGTCGTAACATTGCGAGAATAAAGTCGTAACATTGGGAGAATAAAGTCGTAACATTACGAGAACAAAGTTGTAACATTATGAGAATAAAGTTGTAACATTGGGAGAATAAAGTCGTAACATTGGGAGAATAAAGTCGTAACATTAGGAGAATAAAGTCGCAACATTGCGAGAATAAAGTCGTAACATTGCGAGAATAAAGTAGTAATATTATGAGAATAAAGTCGTAACATTATGAGAACAAAGTTGTAACATTATGAGAATAAAGTTGTAACATTGGGAGAATAAAGTCGTAACATTGGGAGAATAAAGTCGTAACATTAGGAGAATAAAGTCACAACATTGCGAGAATAAAGTCGTAACATTGCGAGAATAAAGTAGTAATATTATGAGAATAAAGTCGTAACATTATGAGAATAAAGTCGTAACATTATGAGAATAAAGTTGTAACATTGCGAGAATAAAGTCGTAACATTGCAAGAATAAAGTCGTAACATTGCAAGAATAAAGTCGTAACATTGCGAGAATAAAGTCATAATGTTGCGAGAATAAAGTCATTACGTTGCGAGAATAAAATTGTAACATTGCTAGAATAAAGTCGTACATTACGAGAATAAAGTCGTAACACTATTAGAATAAAGTCGTAACATTGCGAGAATAATCGTAACATTAAGAGAATAAAGAATTAATATTACAAGAATTAATATTACAAGAATTAATATGTATTTTATCACAACTCTTACAAGGAGCACCTTCTTCCCCAAAATGAGGAATGTCGAGTATCATGTGAAGTTATACTTTGGCATCGGTTTCAAAATAAGAAAATCTTTTAGCACATCAGCTTCTCGTAATATTACGACTTTATTCTCATACTGTTACGGCTTTATTCACCTAATTTTATGACTTTCTTCTCATAATAAATAAAAACAAATCTCTAGCCTGGCCCTAATACTCTGTCGTAACACACAGTCAGAACGCTGCTGTTTAAATTTTAAAAAACTTTTCTGGGCAAGTGAAATATTTTTATCCTTGCAGTAAAAGTCAGAGATGGTCTTTGAAACAAAAAAATGTATTTGTTTCTGATATAAAGGATAACACAAAGATCAAAGATGACTGCAATATTTCCAAGGCTAAATAGATGCTTTATAAAAAGCTGAAGTTGAAAAACTAATCATAACTCAGAAAAAACAAAGTAATCAGCAAAGATCTTGTGGCAAAAATCCTATTCTATATTCACTTGGGCTAAACCTCCCCCTGGAGACACCTGTTTTTCAAGTTTTATCACAAAGGTGCAACCATTCATCCTTTCAGGGTGAGCCTCCAGCGGAGCTGTCCTTTTAAAACACCAATATCTTGAATCGGTGTTTCTAAATGCATCACAACTTTTTTATTTCTACCTAACATACACTGTATTTTAGTTGACAGATAACTTCAGGAAGTACTCACCACTGTTTGTGCCACCTGCTCCAGTTGTGGGACCCGGTGATGACACTACTGCACGGTATGTTGGAGGAGGTGGAGGAGGTGGTGGTGTGCTCCGACTTCCCTGGCTGGCATCTTTGGGAGAGGTGGCTGCTTCTTCCCCTCTTTCCTCTTTGGGATGAGAGGCGTTTGTGTTCTTAGGCGGCTCCTCTTGAGGGAGAACAAGAGGTGGCGGGACTGAGCAAGCAGTGGGTTCCTCAGATGGTGGGGTCACCACAGCAGGGGTGCCCTGCTTCGGGGCTGGGACTGGTGGGACACCGACCGGTGAGCTGAGAAGAGGAGGGGAGGATGCTGGAGGTGATGTCTGCTCCTTTGATGCAGGAGAGGGTAAGCTGGCAACTGTGGGTGGATTTTTATCTTCTGGTGAAGAAGGGCTTGATCGGACAGGAGGAAGAACGGGCTCTTCTGATGGAGGCGGGGAGGTTGGAAGAGGAGGAGGGGAGTCTTCTTTTGGAGAAAGAGAGCTTGGCAGAGAGGTAAGCGATATAGGCAGGGGGGGAGCAGGGGATTCAGAGGAAGGTGGGGAGGCCGGTGGTGGAGGCGCTGGTTCTTCAGGTGGGGGTGGGGAGGAGGGCATCTGTGGTGCAGGTTCCTTTGGTGCAGGTGGTCCAGCAGGAGAATGTTCACTGAAGCAGACCCACTTTTCCTCTCCTGCTTCGCCAGCAGAGGGAGCATCCTCCGGTCCAAAGATGTTGTCCAGGTCTGCTATGGACGGCTTCCTGCTTGTGCTGCCGGCATCTGCTGCTGCTGCTTCTAAAACAGAAACCATATATCAAGAAATAATGCTGTTCTAATTTCCCTTTATTTTAAATAAATGATTTTTAATCAAAATTTCAATACATTTGATATAAGTGTTATTATTATATATTTCTTAATAATTCTGTAAAATCACTTCATATTAAATGTTTTAGTGCAAAAACGCTCCATTAATAAAATACTTGTTTGATTAATAAAATTAATCAAACAAGTAAGTAAGTCATTAATACATTTTTGGCAGTGAGTCATAGTAGGACTGAAGTTAGTTTTAATGGAAATTAGGATGAAAAAGAGGGAGTATTCACCTGCGATGTCTTCAGAGGGAGCTCCGGTTGTTGGGGGGGAGGTTGGAACATTCTTGGGTGGAAGTGGAGGAGGACCTGAACAAAAAAGTAGAACTCTTTAAAACTCTTACTGATGCAGCAATCCTGCAAAATCATAACAATGTCAATCTGTTGATATTTTGTGAAACAACCCAAAATAAGATTAAAAGCACAGTGATTTCCATGAAACTTTAAAGTGGAAATGAAATGAGATGTTTCTTACTGATATGAATAATTATTTTACAAATGTCAAAAGTTTTTTTAACGAAAAACCAAAAATATGTAGCAATGCTTTGTAATTATTTTTGGCAAGGGCGCCGCCATGTTGCAGTAGTCCAAGCGGTGAAGTTACAGGATTGGTTGATGATTCAGCTAGTCGTTAAATACTATCGGAAATACCTTACAACAGTTAAACACTTTTGGAATTTGGTATGATGGAAGACGAAGCTGAAAGGATACTAAAGCACATTAATCCCATTGCTTATGCTGTTGAGCCCATTTGTTGGATGACTTGAGACATAGTAAGGAGAGAAGAGGCAGCTAAAGAGCCTTGGGTTCTGACTCTCCTTGCTACCCGACAGAACATCGGTTGTAGAGATGATGTAAAGCAGCAGACTTTTGAGTCTGGTGATCTAGCGGCCCTTTGGACAGCCAGATGAAGCCTGAAGCTGCGCTGAATATTTTATTCAACCGTTGCATTTCTGAATTCTACCGAGTGGTGCGCGACTTTACACGTGTGAATAAAGTGAATGTGATTGGTCGTTTATCAAGGGGGCAGGATTGTTGTGACGGAAGGGTCGCAAGCAAGTTTTATTGTGGCCGGTGTCTCAGAAGCATCTTGGTTAGCAACTTAGTGCTAGTAGGTTCCCAACGGGAAATAACCCTGGCACCAATTAGCACTAAATTGGTGACTTAGAAACGACAATGTCAAGGAACGCTATGGACAGCGGAAACATGCAAGAGGAGGAGAGTTTTGTGTCGGAGGTCGTGGATGAATCTCCTCTGTCATTCATTTTTTATTTAGAGGAGGAAAGCGGGGACGAAGATGTTGTGGAAGAGGACGCCAGGGCGGCAGAAGCTTGGTTTGGTGTAGAAGGCTTCCAGCCGTACATGTTTGAGCCCTTGCCTCGCAACGCTGCCAGTTCCGTTAGCTCTACGCCTGCTGAAGACACAGACGTCCATCCCCGTGAACACTAGGATGTAACTCAATGGGAAAGGAAATTATTCTGATTTCAACCGTTGCGTATATTAGCTGCGACATATGAATCAAGATGCTATGACCGAAAAAATTTGATTGACAGATGACTGCTGATATATGATTGGCCGAATTTAGGTGTACAGGCTGACGTATAACTAACTGGCCTACATAAGATAAAAAAAAAAACCCCCACAGATTTTAAGGCGGATTTTTTTTAAAATAGAAATTTTCTAAATTCTGGGACAAGATTGTCTGATAAAGAGTACATTTATATACATGTTTAAACCAGAATGATTTGACATTTAAATATGATTTCCCTACGATTTTAAGCTTCGTCTTTTATTTAATTTCTTTTATTTATCTTTTCCCCACTTTCCTTAAATGTTTCCTTGATGGGCCCTACAATTCCTTTTTAAACATTAATCTTTGTACTAAAATATTCTGTCATGATTTGTGGACATTAAGACATAAAGAGACGTGCCATCTCCTGGTCAGAACCTGTAATTCAGTGAAAGGGTGGAGTCAGAGTAAAAAACTATGCAAGAGGGGATAACTACAGTGGCTGGAAAATGGCTGCCATTTGACAGGGAAGTCATCTATGGTTGTGAAGTATCGCTGGTATTTCAATGTATTCAACTGCTGTCTGAAGCATCAACCAACCCTGTGATGTCATCGCTTGGAGTACTGCAACATGACAGCACCGTGGCAAAAAAACAATGCTAAATTTATACTTTCTAGAAATATATATATACATCTACTATTCTTGTGGATTAAGTTAGTTTGGTTAATAATTTAATTTCCACTTTAAGCTGAATGTCACACACCTGTCAATAAAACATCACTGTTGACAGGTAGACAACAAAACCATCCATCATGCGACACAGAACTTTAATATTCAGTAAACACCATGCCGAGTGCAAGGGTAGGGCAGCAATGGAGGGAAGGGTTGGTGCAAAACCAATACAGAACCTCTTTCTGTATGATAGACATGACACCCAAAAATAAAGGCTGATGAAATTAAACAGGAAACAAGCCTTTGTTTAGAGGGACATGGAGAGGATCATGGCCACACGGCTGTTTGATCAGGACTGTTTGCAGGGTCTGTTTGTTTAGTCAGATGATGAGGGAGCTCACGTGGTGAACTGGTATGTTTCTGCAGTCATTCAAGGCATACGGGGAGTGGAATAATGAAACTTACTTCCTGTGGGGAAGGACCTCGTTAAAGAGGATTCAGGCTCTGGGAGAGAAGTCCCCCACACATCGGGCTCAGAAAGAACCACTAAGTCCAGGAGGGGACACAGAAGGTCAAGTGAAGCAAATTAGTACCACATTAAAAGGTTTCCCATCCCTTTTAAATATATACTTTGTGGGAAACAATCAAAGGTCAGCTAGTAATGAAAGCCTTAAATACAGTAATTAAATCTGCTAACAGACAGGAAGTGTCAGGCAGCTGGGAGGAAAGAGACAAGTTGTCAAATATGAACAAACCACACAACAAAAAGGCTGAGTCATATACTGGAGCAGAGCATCATGTTCATGCCTGAAGGTTCATTTTTTTCTAGTGGTTGTATTTATAGTAGAAGAGGTCATCTTTACATGTGAATCAATGTAAAGGTATAGTTAAAAAATTTTGAATATTGTCAAACAGTTCAAGGTGAAGCTTATGATGCTCATAACTTACTGATCGTGTGAACCTAAAATGTACTTTCTCTAGAAATTAGATTGTTAACTGGATCCACAGAAAATGATTTTTTTCCCCATAAATATCTGGCTTTGGAAAAGTTTGTTCATCCTTATGCATGGGACTGAAAAAAATTTATCTGATTAATCGCGATTAATCGATTATTGAAATAATCCTCAAATTATTTAGTAATTGATTAATCGTTAAATGGAGTATAGAGACTTTACAACATGCGCTTAGCTGACAGAGCAACCAGTATCTGTCAATATGCTCCAGAACTCCTCAAGTGGAAAAGTTTAAGTTTCACCTGGTTTAATTTCAAAGTCTTCTTTAAGGAGCCTTTTGCTATCTGATTATTAATCAAAAAAATAATCGACAGATTAATAGATTTGCAAAACAATAGTTAACATGAATTACTTAATGTAGATTGGTACGAAGGATCTGAAGTATAATGGAAACATATGTCAGTCTGAACGTAGCATTTAGGTAATTAGGGTTGTATAGTTTGGTGTTTGTCATCTTCCTACTGATCATTATAGCTTCTCTATGGGGTTCAAGTCAGACCAGAGTCCTGGGCAATCAATCACTGTAACACCACTGTCATGGAAGCAGCTTTTAGTACCTTTGGCATGACAGGCAGGTGAATCTGAACGGCTATATTTACTGTGCACTCAGAGACAGAGTGGGCTAAATGCAGCAAATGACATTGCACCCTAAATCATCACTGACTGTGAAAACCTCACACTAGACTGCCGTCTTACTCCAGACTGTTTATTGTAAATTCCAAATGAAATCCAAACTTTACTTTCATCTGAAATTAGATAAGGACATTGGACCACGAGACAAGGATTGGCTCAGGTTCAATTTATAATTTTTGACTGTGCATTGTGACTTCAGCCTCAGTCCTCTAAACTATTACATTGATTGAGCTTAAAAATTCCCTCAAGGCTGAAATAAATTCAAGTTACAGTTGTTTTTAGAGATACTTTTCCTACAACACATTTTCCTTCCACTCAACTTTCTTTGAATACGCTTAAGTAAAGCACTCTGTTAGCAACCACCAATTTAGCACAACCTCTGATGGATTCCTTAGAGGAAGTCAGTGACTGTCTTCTGAAGACCTCTCCAGTCAGCAGCCTTCCCCATGATTGTGCAGCCTGCTGACCGAGACAGAGAGACCATTCAGATGCTTGGGAAACCTGTGCGGAGGTTTTGAATGAACAGACTGATCAGGGTATGAGGCCACAGGCATCCCCTATTCACTTATTTAAAATTATTCAATATATTTATTATGAAGCAAGATTGTCAAAACCTCAAGAGGCTTGAAGATTTAGCGAGACATGCCTAATGAACTTATATAATATACGGGTTCTACTTTCTAAAATGGGTAAAGAAAGACGTATGTGTATCATATCAACCTGCATTCACATATGCCTGCTATGTCTGCATCGCAAAACCCAACAAGGCTGAATGTGAGCAAGTGACGGCAGCACGTGCAAATTAACCAGGCTGCAACGTGATCATGAGCACATCTATAACTTTGGCCTCAAAAAAGAAACACTAAACTAAATCTAATACGGCACAGTCAGTCCAGAAGAAGAAGAATCAGTTTATAAATGAGAGGAAGGAGGAGAAAAAGGAAGTTAGAGCAAATGTGTTATGACAGGCAGGCAAGACTAAGCTGACAGCAAAAAGAGAGAAAGCAAGTGTTTTTTTCCCCAGAAAGCCTGTATGAATAAATCTAGAGAAAAAAAAGAGAGAGGATTAAAAAAATGGAAGAGAGAGAACAGGTACCTTCGGTTTTCTCTTCTCCGAAGGCTGTTTCCAAAGGAGGCCCAAATAAGGCTGTGGTGTCTTCAGAGGCTGCTGTCTGCTGAGAGCTGCAGCAGAAGAAGGGGGCAAGTTGGACAAGGAAACTAATCTAACATTAAAATTAGGGAATAAAAAAAAAATAAGGGTAAAACATTGCCTCTCTTCAACTCATCTAAATGAACCAAATATCTAATATACTATTTAGAATAGAACAATAGAAAATCCCTTTATTGTCCCACGATGGCGAAGTAGTGTATATTAATATAATGCTATAATGATTTTGATACTAAAAATATTTTTCTTTCATTATTTTACTAATTTTTCAATTTTAAAAACAGGAAGGTACTTAAAGAACGTATTTGCTGCACAAAATTAATGCACACAGAGACAAAAAATTTACTTGAATTGTAATATTCAAATCGGGTTCATCTAAAATGCATATAGTTTTTGTGTGTTTGAAATAAATTCTTAAAACATAAATTAAAAATGAATTTATCGTCCATTTATCTGTAACGTTTGGTTTTACATTTTCTTAAATTCTTTCAAAAGAAAAGGCAAAAACTCCTGTCATTTAGCTGCAGAACAGCTGTTCATTTTAGTTAAGGGTTCGTCAGTGTGATTCATGGTAACATTGATGAATTAAAGGGTGTAATCTAGGACTCCAAAATCTAGCCTGTCAGCAATTTGTTCAAGGCATTGATTTGTGTGGGAAAAATGACTTCCTTTAGCTCAAGTTTTGCACACTTTGCCAATGTACTCCATATTTTAGAAAAGGAGAGCCACTTTACGATAACAAATGTTATCTTTAAATTGAATAAATGCTCTGTTTCATGCATCAAGACAGCATACACGGTAGATATTAAAGATAGAGGTTATGCATGGAGAAATGAATGCTTGAAGTAGCTGCTGCACACATCTGCGCTCTCTCAGCATTAGAGAAGAATAACCAAGTAGAAAACAAACAGCAACAACAGGAATATTTCTTTAAGCAGAGTCATTTGGGGATACAGGGAATAATCTCTGCCTCTGTGTGCAGAGAGCGAAGGGGCCATGTGACTCATCTGACTCAACAAATAAAAAATAAAGCAACCGGACAACAAAAACACTGACATTCACGCAAACCACTAGAGCCCATGCAGCATGACTGGCCTACACAGCACTCCCCATTTACACGACTGTTTTTATATATTAATACAACAGCAATGTTTGATTTCCCTCTATGCATGTTTACTGTGGTGCACACAAAAGCTAATAAAGGGAAATACAATTTTGCGTAGAAAATATTCAATATTCCTTCAAGGTGGAAAAAGTGGGGCAGCCTTATAATGAGCTCTTTTCTGTTAGACGAGCAAAGAGTTAAATGGAGAACGATGTCCCATTTTCCAGCTCCACTGTGGCGCTTTACTTAGTGAGGCATTGACTTAGTGAAAAATTATCTGTAGACATCATGGTACGCTCTTATGCTCATGTTCAGGATGTGGACGGATATGCTGACAGTTAAAGTGTAATTAGGAATGTCTGTTTTTAGCAGTATTAGTTGATCTACAAGGTGATGCGTACATTAATCCCAGTTTATTTACCCATGACAGAATGTAACATGCTTTGATGCAATGCAAAAACTCAAAAAGCCCCAAATACATGATGTAGTTAACAATATTTGATGTTTGTAAAATAAAAGTAGAACATTTTTCTTAAGGTATAGAGGAGGATCTTTTATTTTCGGGTGGATCATCTCAATAAGTGGTCCTCCTAATTGTCAATCATTCTGGGAATATGTTCACGTTAGTCTCGTTGGCTATGCGCACTTTCACGCGTAGATCTGTATTGAGTTACGGTCAGTGATGGGACTAACGGCGTTGAAAGTAACAAGGTAACAAGGTAACGGTGTTACTAACGCCGTTACCTTGTTTTAGTAACGAGTAATCTAACTAATTACTTTGACTGTAACTATAACGCAGTTACCATTGCAGACAACCTGTTACTGCGCATTACTCAGGTCGCACAATGAACCTTTTTTTCAAGATAGGACTCGTGCGCGCCTTGTCATGAGAGAGGGGAGGATGAGATTGGCTGATGTATAGTGAGATTCCGTCTGTCAGTTGGGTAGGTGGGTGTTTCTGCTGGTGGGTGTTAACGTACAGCACACACAGAGAGATGGAGAGTGAGGAGGACTCCAGCAGCAAAAAAGCGTTTTCCACATGGAAATACCGGTGTTACGTCAAGCTGAGTTTCCCCATCACATACAGTTTCCCCTGCATCTCCGCACAGCGCAGGCAGCACGATTCACCGCGCAAGCGACAGGAAACGCGTATGCTCGCTAAAGGCGCGCAACAGTCGCCCTGTGCTTGCGCCACAGGAGAACTATGGAGATCGTGAACAATCAAATGATAGCCTATGTGGAGAAAGGGAGAAATCTGGATGGATGGATGGATGGATGGATGGATGGATGGATGGATGGATGGATGGATGGATGGATGGATGCTCTGCCTTTTCAACCTACTGTATTTTTTATGTTAAACATTATTTGATGGCCTTTGTGGCACGGATGGAGATCCATATTTTATGTCACACACAGAGTATACATCTATATAGATAGATGGATAGATAGATGTTGCAGTATCTATAACAACCCAAACACACAGGATTTCAGAATTAGACACCCCCAGTTATCAATTTCATACACTCACCAGATCTGAACGCCCTGTTAAAAAACTTCACATGGCTTTCCCCCCTGATGTCATTTACGTTGAGTTGCAATAAATGCAAAACTCTCTGCAGTTTCTTGTCTTTGTCGTCCACTCTATTCAGCTGGCTTTAGAAACACGCGGCGAGAAGGTGGGGGCTGGGTGGTGAGGGTTACGGAGGCGAGAAACGCAAAAGTAACGCAATAGTTACTTTTACTAGTAACTAGTTACTTTTATTGTGGAGTAACTCAGTTAGTAACAGTTACTTTTTGGGAGAAGTAACTAGTAACTATAACTAATTACTTTTTCCAAAGTAACGTGCCCAACACTGGTTACGGTTTCAGACAGTCACTGAAGCCTTCCTTTCTCACAACGGTTCTTTTAAAATGGCTGAAGGTCGTAAGACAAAAATGTGTCAGGTTCTCAATATGTGTACTTGTGCGTACTCATGTGCTTCCAATTCACAAGAACAGCAGACCAAGAACGTACAAAGTCCTCAGATGTTGTTCTTGCCCTTCCCTATTTATAAATACATACATACATTTTGAGTTGCTGCAATGAAATTTCGGCAAAATGGAATAGCCTGCCGCATTATTTGTACACTGTAATTTTTGGGGTGTCTTTGAATTAAGCCCTTTGTAGGTTGATAATTCTCATTTCCATCAAATGATGTGGTATCCTTTTGTTCCTAACAAATCACCCAGTCCATATCAGTAGAAATAAACAGCATTATTTTTTGCCCCATTGAGATCTGATGTTTTTTCAAAGTGTTCCTAATTTTTTTGACAGTGTATATCATTATGTTCACTAAAGTCTGCAGTTGTGCAACAAAACACTAGCATATAAAAGCTGCTATATGGGAATATAGTTAAATATCATCTATAATTATATGCTTAAAAAAAGGCTTTAAGTGAACCGTTTTCTATTGCATAATCAATGATAAGAACATTTCAAATCAATACCAGTTTTTTACAATGAAAAGGTAAAAAGCGAGCAGCATACCTGGGTGGTTGTGGGGCTGGAGTGTGTGTGGGGGGCACTGTGGGGGCAGCAGGAGCGCCACGCCTCGGTCTGGCAATTTCCTCACCTGGGAGAAAGAAGAAAATAAAATTATTAATGATTATTTAACATTAGAGCTACATTAATTGCTCTGAAGGGCAGGGAGAGTGTGACTTACTCGATGTGTTCCTTTTCAAACCCTGTCATGACAGAAAAGAGAAGAAAAGTTTAAAAATCCTAAGATTCAAAAAGTAACAGAAACTTTATCATATTTTCCCAGCGTATAAAAGCAGCAAATAAATGTAAACATTGATAACGGGCAGATAACGTTTTAAAAATATGATTGATTGTTCTCCAGCCTTTAATGACGTACAATCTCTAGCTTTTATATTAAACTAAGGGTTTATAACTTCTTATCAGGATAAAGATCTGCCATAAAAAAATTTTTTTTTTTTTGCAGAAGCATAATAAAACTCAGAAGAACTTTACTAAAGTCAGCTCTTAATTTCGGAACATTTAGGGAGGAACAAAAATCCAAAGAAATCACAAATGACAAATTTTTAGCAGCAGATGAAGAGACTCATTTCTCTTCACTGCCTCGTAGGCCCGATAAGGGTCTAAGTTTCTGTTGCCACCAAAGATAAAAACTGTTCTCAAAGTCCACCACAAGAAAACTAGAGCAGTCTACCAACATATAAATTGGATGTTTAGGAAGCATGCCAAAGAAAGTAAATATCCCTTCAAGTAGAGTGGAAGGACACTGAAATCATAGAGTGAGGTCTAAGAGTGGAGATTGTTAAACAGAACTTGAGTTTTAACTGGAACTTACAGCAACAGACACCACAGATACACCTGATCAATAGTCTAGTTGTTAAAAAAAAAAGGTGGATTTTTTTTTTTTTTTGGAAGCATACATAGCCTAATTAATATAGTCTATTAACCAAAAGCACTATGTATGATATGGTTGTTACATGTCAGGTAGGTCAGTCTTTGACCTTGACCAAGACACCTTACAGTAGAACTGCAGTCAGTCCCTGGACTGGCATGGCTATCACTGCCCCTACATAAGTAGGGACAAATGCAGAGGACAAATTTCCCACTTCATAGTCATGGTAGGCCAGTTCTTTGATTTTATTTGTTTTTCTCAGGCTACACATAAGCCCACAGCCCTCCAAACGTCGAAAAGGCAATATTATTGCCATTACAGTTAATATCTAGTAGAAATCAGAATCAGATATACTTTAATAATCCCAGAGGGAAATTACTTTTGTTACACATTTTTGTTACACATTGTGTAATAAAATGTCACAGGGGATGGTGTGGGAGGATGGTCATTTAAGAAGGTTTTTAAGAGTTTTTTAAGTAGGGGGATGCCATTCCCCCTCATCCTCCATCAACTCAAGTACTGCACCTGATGATAAAAAGTAAAAAAAAAAAAAAACAATCCACTCAAATTTGTTTTCCAAGTTTAAAGACATTTCGCTTCCCATCCAGGAAGCTTTTTCAATTCAAAATGTCAGAGTTAGCGTTGACTTCCATGCTTTATAAAGCGGACCAACAAAGCCTTGTTAGAAAACATGCATTTTCAAAATCTTTTGGAATGACTATGACCTGGATGACTGGGAATATCCATCAGCACCTATTGATAAAGAAAAAAAAGCTTCTGTTGCCCACTGTTACTGTAGGTACAGCTGAGGATATACTGTATGATGATATGAGCCTGTTTCTCTTCCAAAGATCATGGCAGCTTTGACACAGCACCACATTTTAACTAATTTTAGGATCCTCCAGACATAAAATCAACCTCAGCAATGTCCATTTGAAAACCTGCGGGTTGAGCTAAGGAGCACTTTCAAAAAGAAACTGTAAAACAACGTAGAGATGGAGTGATTAGAAGAAATAATAATTCTCAACCACTTCCAATAAGAAAACACACCCAATTTAAAATAGAAAATTTTCTGAATGTTTTAGTTTAGGAGTAAGTTACTAAATTTTAAAAATCTATTCATTTGAAGACTTTCTAAACTGTTATTTTAGCATCGTAATTGAGCAAATTATTCGTTTCTAAATTATTACCATTGACTCTACAAAACATGCAAAAAGTCATTCTTTTCTTAAAATAAGTGCATTTTTTTCTTGAATTGAGGAGGTAAGTGAGACACTTTGCTAATGGAACAAGAACATTTAAATTTAAAATAAGAAACAATAATTGAATTGTTTTATTTCAAATGCATGTTATCCGATTATCTTATTTTAAGAGTAAAAATACTCATTCCTTTGGCAGATCATCTTATTTATCTTCTCAAATTAAGGGTACATACACTTAATCTTAGCCATTTTTACATCGTTTTTGCAGTGTAGTGTGATGAGTATGGCTTTTTATGTGCCTCTATTAATTTTTACTTCCATTAGAAACAAAAGACAAAAAACAAGAATTGTATTATTTTCATGTAACTGGAAAATTGTAATTTGATAGGCTCTCTTGTCTCCGCTGTAGCCAGAACTCATAACAATTGTTAATCTTTAAAGCTTTTAAAAGTCTAAGCAATATGCTTTTTGAGGTGTGTGCAATGCATCAATGTGACAGTGAACAAAGTGTAACACTGTGGTAATATTGGTGTAAAAGGAGTCTTAAATAAGGCGGCCTGAGTGCCCACTCAGACGTTACAGTTTGTCCTGCTGTGATGCTAACAGTGGTATGAATTCATTGTGGTGGAGGGAACCGCCAGCATTAAAAAGGAAGTTAGAGGAGAGCTGGAAAAGAGGGGATGAGACACGAGCAGATGAAGCGACACGATGGGAAGAGACTAGTGTGAGACATCAAAGGGCCAGCTGTCTAAAGTACAAATTATAACCGAGTAAACTGAAAATAAAACATCTTTTTCTTCAAGGCGGAAAACCAAAACCACCATCAGACTAGAGATAGAAAGCAGCAGGATTTATTTTTTTGAAATGCTTACATTTATTTTCATCAGAAAAATGTCAACTCCTGTTCAAGGATAAAGGAAGCCTTAGATCTAGTCTGACCTCAGTAAGACAGATGAAAAGGACACTTACCGGGCTACGTCTCTGTGACCAGCATAAAGGAAGAGAGAAGAGATACCTGATCAGAAAGTGACAAATCAGTGAAAAAGAAAGCATATGCACATAAGAAGACTGTTTGGCCTGGCTGATCATCATGTTAAAAAAATTATATTTCTCTTTTATTTATTGAAATACACCTTTAAGCATTTTTATAGAGGTTGATTTACTGAAACCAATTTGTGTGCCTATGTTTGGAGCTTTGGTAGCGAGATAAAAATGGATAAGATCTTGTAGAGCTGCATCATTAATTAACTATTTCTTCTAACCCTTCATGCATTTCCTGATCAGCTGTTAAAACAGAGACTCCTCCAGCCAATCCCTGCCATGTTCCTTTTTTTTGCATGTATCTTTCCATATTGCCCCTTTGCACACTTGAATTTCCAGTGAAATCACTCCATCAGCCTACATCTTATCCACCTCAGAGTAACCATCTCTCCCTCCATCCCCTCACTCTTTAGCTTGCCCCAGTTGTGCAGTGAGCCATCAGTGATTAAAGTGATGTAACAGAGGGTGGGACCTGCTGGTGGTAGGAATTCATTTAATTGGATACGGCCATGAAGGACAGAGATCAGTGAAGGCTGAGCTAGCCAATAGCTGTAGCTCTACTGAATATAAACAGGAAAACCATCAGAGCTGTAGAAGCTGTATGAGCCAAAAATCATTTTAGTGGACATACTACATAATACTACATTTTCAATTTTCTTTATTATCAGTTCAGTATTGAATTTTGATATATATAATATTTTGTAAAAGTGTCATTTAAACTCAGGAGAGATGAATTTAAAGAAGACAAACTATTTCAGAGAATTAAATGCAAAACACTGCAATTATGTAGCCTGGGTGCCATTCCGAACTTAGTCCCGCCCACAAAGTTTGAGGTCGGGAAGTTTCGGTCTGGCTCTGCTCCATAGTAGCGCGAGTATGATCGCCCACCCACTGGCGATCCAATCAAATTGTCAGGGCGGGCTTTATACGATGATGGACAGATGATCAACAGTAACCTAATCACCCACGTGACCAATGCGCGCTTGGGTGACAACAACAATGGCTTCCGCTGGAGAGTTTAGGTGAGTAGATTCTGCTATTAGGTCTGTTCTAGAAGATATCGACAGCAAATTAATTTTAAAAGAGGAACAGAGAAACGCGATCAAGTCTCATCTTCTTAATATAGGCGTGCAACTGCACGCTTTGATTTTTGTTGACAACAACTATGCCTCGCTTAACATACGTCACGCACTCCATTGCTCTTATTGGTTGTAGGTCTATCCAATTGAGTGCAGAGGCATTTTTTTTCCTGGTTCGTTCGAGACACGCCCCATAATCACAGCTCTATGGAGCAGTATCAGACTCATATTCTGACTAGAATTGAGTCGGACTACGTCAGGCTAGCAATTATGGTAAATACGGTCAAATTTTAATAAAAAATAATAAAAAATAAATGTTTTCTAAAGAATAAATGGGAATACAAACATATATTAAATGAATAAAATAAAGAATTACAGAGATGACGTAAACTGCATATTTATTTGGTTGTCATCACCTACTGAATCTGAATAATCGTTGGTGAATCCCATCTGGGAAAGCATGTCACCTGGTGTGAGTAAAGTGATTATATAAAATCTCCCTGTAATGTCTCAGCATTATGTATACATGTGTATTGTAACCTATGTAATGTTTCCTTTTTATGCATAATTTTGATTTTTTTTTGTTCAGTTTTCTTAAACTGACGTTTCTTTGCAGAAATGTTTCATTTAAATTTCACATGGTGGGAATTTAACAGCATCCAGCATCTTGTCTTGGTAAGATCTGCCTTCTATAAAATACAAAAAATTCCCTATACTGAAGACAAGAGCCCACCGCTCTCTTCAGGTGACCATAAAGCTTTGTTTTTGGGCCGTGACAAAGTCTTAAAATGCACATTCTTCTGCTGCACACTTTTGTTCAGTTAAAAGCAATGTAAATAAATAAATAAATAAATAAAAAACTGCACCATATTTAACCTTCTGGAAAAACACTGAAGGTTTTGACTCCAAGCTTATTCATATTTGGAACCTATTCATAATTGTCAACATCTGGTCAAAAAAACTAAGCTCCATCTGGAAAAAAAGTAACCCACAAACGATGTCAAGATGTTTCACTGTGGATGTGGTGTTCCTTTCTTGACTGATAAGTCTGGACAATAAATATAATTCTATTTTTTATTCCCCCCTCTGGGAAATATGGCTGTAATACAAGGATTTAGATTAGCAAATATATTTTGGGTTGATTAAATTCACTATAAAAGATTCACTAAAAAGATTATGGAAACTTTTGTGATTGTATCACTTTAAAAAACATGTTTTAATTTTTTTGTTGCAAAGTAAAGGAAATATTTACAATTTAAAAAATATTTTGAAATTATGTCTTAATTTTGTGGATGCACTTTGTACACATTGTGTATTTACTTAATCTGCTTTAGATTAAAGTAGACAACAGGCTTCATTGCTCATTAGTGCTGATCATTATGAGTTACTGGTTTAATAATTTTTTCCCAAATTCAGGTCACCAATTAGCAACAGCACAAACTTAAATCGTGTTTTACGTAGGAAGTACTTTAAGAGGTTAGAGAGCACAAAGTTAAGAAAGGCCCAAAAATAAAAACAGATAAAAAGCAGAGTCTTACCGGACTCCTCTACAGTAGTTAGGGTCATTTAAGGCAGCAAAGCAAAAATAATCAAAGGAAGAGAAAAAGTTAACAAAATGTTAGAAGGTGGTGGGGGGGGCATTATACTGACACAGCAAAGCAGACAGGAAGTTATTGCCGTTTCATTGCATTCATTAACACCCATTTGGAGTCGACTTTGAATAGGACAGCGGAAAATTTGTGTGAAATCAGCATTTAACCTGCATCATTATTGCTTCATTACAAACACATCCAGTTCTCCAATAGCAGGGCTTCCTCCATTCAATTAAATATTCTCAAATAGTCTAAGGAATAGCTTTGTAGTGCACTTATTGGGTGTATCTCACACTGCTATTAATTTATGAGGTCTATTCGAGAGAATCTGACTTTTGCTAGTTTAAAAAATGGCTACAATGCTCTTTGATAGTTAGTTATTCAAAACATGCAAATAGTAAGACTAAACTTGGCCGCTCATGATGCATATTAATGACTGACACACTGATTTTGCTTAAAGATCATAGGCTGTAATAAAAAAAAAGATGCAAAATAATTTCATGGCAACAAAAGCTTGTCTGAAAATTTCTGTCCACAGCTTCCCTCAAGGAAATATTTAAAAAGTTTATCGAAAACCTTGAATCTGTCAAGTTGTTTTTTTTTCCCTCCCAAGGCCTCCATACATGAACTTAACCATTAAAAGCATAAAACCTTCACACCTGATAAGGTCGACAAAGGCAGTGGGTGAGACCAGTGAAGCTTGATTCAATTATTGAGGACAGAAGATCAAATGACCTCAAGTAATATCCCTGTATACCGAACTGAAACACAAGTTCATTGTGCCCACTTTCCTATCTGAATAATTTAAAGCAGACACCTAAGCAAACTGTCCTTACTGGGGAAAGGCAGGATCTAAGGCTAACGGTCCAATAGGCATAAAAAAAGCTTACAGCTACATGAGGAACCCCGATGCAGACAAGACTTATCATTGATCCACTTGGATCAATAGCAGTTCTGATTAGGAGAACTCGTTTTAAACTAACACTCAAAACATGTCAATTAATAACAGAAGTCTTACAATAAGTAAATATGCATTTCAAGATTCTTGACAATTCTTTCTTTTTTTTAAGGCTTTCAGTTCAGGTCAGTAATCAGTTAAATTCAATTCCGTTAATTGACACTACAGACCATGCACACATGCTGGATCCTCCGATATATTACAGTATGGCAATAATCATGCAGATGCAAATGGATTATTATGAATGTAAAATAAAACAGGGATGTTTAGTTTAAAAATATGTTAATGTTAAGCAGATGGCTCTTAGGAGATCATGATGCGTCGATCGAAAAGAAGAGAAAATTACATCTACAAACACCCAGATCTAAATTATATAGTTATATAGATTAAAATCACCATGGAGGATAGATTTGAAGCATTTATTTCCCTTAATGTCAATGTTTTCTTAAAAACATAAAAAAGATATTAAATGCTTAGATATGGTCTAAAAAAAAGTTATAGGAAAGCCCAATGACTTAACAGTGGTCCATTAGATCGTCACTGGGATCCTCTACAGCCTTGAGAGGTGGTTTGACAAAAACTTGCTGCTCACAGGGAGCTGTTGTCATTTTAATATTAATAAAGAGTTAAGTAGAAGAAAAAGGTTTGGTTGAAACCTTCGCACAGGATACCCCGTGTTTAAGGGGACTCTGAATAAATCCACTGTCAGCATTTTAGGGCAGATTCACAAACTGTTGACTGGTGCTGGTCACCGCAGATATAAAGCTGGGCGCCATTTTTTATTTATTTTTTTTACTTCCCTTTTTAGGTCAAACAAAATACATTTTTTTCTCTCTTAGAGTTTCAATTCAAAAACATTACTGTTGATCTAATGAACACAGATAATATATGTATAACATCTTTAAGGATTTCTGAATGAAATCAATCCTCTGATTAAATGCACTGAGAATCATGCAAACATCTCAGCAGGAAAAAAAAAGCAACTTCCAGAGCCACAAGATAAAGATTGGATTAGATTGAAGAAAAAAGAAAAAAGCAGATATGAGCTGAACATACACGTGACAATGACCTAAACATCATGAACCAAGTCTGCTAACGAAGGTCAGCAGAAGGAGGACACAGCCGTCAGGCTTACTCACCATAGGAGATGGGGACAGGGCGATGTTGCCTATGGAGGCTTTGAGCTCATCCACCGAGGGAGCCGCTATGACGCAATCAGCTGGCAGCGGTTTGATTTTGATTTTAAATTTCTTATTGTGGTCCTCCTCCTCCTCAGACTCATCAGAGGAGAAGAAGTGGGGCTTTTTTGTAGGTGAGGGTACAAAGTCAAGGAAAACGTCCCACTGCATAAATTTAACTGACCTTCAATCCTTTAATAGCATCTAATTTCAGGTGAAACTTTGTAGGCAAAAATTTTTTTTAGGAGAAATGAAAGATTTCAAATACCTAATGCAATGTCTGCTCTTAATAAAAATTTTTACCGGTTGTGGGTTAAACAACAACCTTTCTTTTATTCACTTTGTCGATGTCCAACTTAAAACCAATCGCTCCACTCCACAGTTTGAGTAGCATGAAGCTCATTCAACATTCAGTGTTCTGACTCATTGTTTTGACATTGTGATAAACTACCTCTAAGCGGTCTAAACAAAGTCATACTTAAACCACATTAGGAGAATATTTAAATAGATAACAGCTGATCCATTTGAAAGCATCCTGTAATTCACTACTGTTGCTGTTTTTAGGATATGTCCTTCTTCAGACTCATCTTCAGGTCTGATACTGTAGCCTTCATCATCCACCTCTGGAGAGTTCTGAAACACATCGACTGGAAATTAGTCCAAACCGTCAAACATGAGCACAGGTGGAACGAGGGAACGCTAACCATGCTTATTGTAGCAGCGCTATTATATAGAGGGTTCTCCAACTGTAATAAAAGCTTTACATTAAAGCATAATTGGAAACTAACTAAATAAAATGTATTATTGACTAATGCTACTTTGAAAATACAGTAAGCAGAGGCCAGTTAATGTAGGCTGATAGCAAGGAGCATCTCAACCATCTCCTCTACTGTTTTACAGAGAGAGCAAAATATAATTCGTCTGTAAATATTTCTTTTTGTCAAAAAGATAAACAGCCAAAAGTTGAAAACTGAAGGTGTTATAAGAAGACCCTTGTTTATAATACACAACCAGGAATCCTGAAAGTTCTTGCTGTTATTTTTGGTTTGCATGTTTAGCTTTGATTTTCCTGTGTGAATGAACAATTAAATAGCTAATTTTAATAGCTAATATCATAAAATATGTTGGGCAATAGGCTATTACTATACGTCATAGTAAATTTAAAGAGTCCTTGTGCTAAAATGTGTCTTAGAGCCATGGTTTAATAATAAAAAACAGACATTATAGAAAACAAAACTGTCATAATCAATATCTTTTAGTAGTATTATGAAAAATAGCTGCTTTTCTGTTTCAAATAAAACTCATTAAATCATCCTTTATGTTTTGTTTTTATATTAACATTTGTTTAAACACACTCCAATGGATATAAATATTAGTTTGTTTCAGTAAAAACTGGTGCATTAATCTAAAATTGGCTTTACCAAGCTATAATGAAGAAAGCTCTATATTTTAACTCTTAAGGATGCTAATGCTTAGTTAAGCTGGTGCAGAGAAAGCATAAAAAAAAAAGCCACTTAAAACAATTAACTGTACTTACATATCTTTCCCAGTCGATATCGCCGTAGAAGCCATTCGGGGCTCCGTTTGTCTTCTTCTGAGACTGAGAAGACAGAAGCTGTTTGATTAAAATCCCTGCAGACACTAAAGAAAGTAAGTTATGCAAGAATGTCCTACATCTATCCAGACTACAACTTAGCAGCATGCTTTAACTGTTCTGTAGATAGATAGATAGATAGATAGATAGATAGATAGATAGATAGATAGATAGATAGATAGATAGATAGATAGATAGATAGATAGATAGATAGATAGATAGATAGATAGATAGATAGATAGATAGATAGATAGATAGATAGATAGATAGATAGATAGATAGATAGATAGATAGATAGATAGATAGATAGATAGATATTTCTGACACTAATTCTATGCTTACACAGTGCTACACTACTGTCTAAGTCTAAAACCTAAGTTCAGTACCGATTCACCCTCTGGGGGTTCCTGGTGAGCAAAAAGAACACATAAAGCAAATGATAGATACCGTTTTCACCAGATTCAGTAAATCTTGTATAAAAATATTGATTTATTAATCAATGAGAAGCTTTTTGCTGATACTTACACCACTTTCCCTGTCTGGAGACCCTCTGTGAAACATTAAGGAAGAAAAAAAGGGAAAAATTAAAGGTTCCTTGCTCTAAAATCTACTTATTAGTTAATTTATTTTAAAAAAAGGTAAAATTAGCTTTCAAGGTATGATTAAAAGACTTTTAATATGATTCAACTTAATGAAAAACATTACAAACCATTCATCAGCTAAATTTATGTATCTAATCAAAGATCATATTTAACATCAAGTTTCATCCTTCCATCTTTGAAAAAGGATGAGAAGCATCAGGAAGCAAAAACTGCACTTACGTTGAGTCGTTGTCCTTCTCTTTCTTTCGTATCCCAAAAGCCTTCCTGGTGCGTTTTTTCAATCCTGAAAAAAATCAAAAAGAGAAACCAAAGGGATGAATAAAGGGGTAACTCCAGTGGGGGGATTAAAGGGTAGCTTGGAGCAGCCGCGCGTCATGTGGATTAAAGGTAAGATGTATTGTTTATTGACTGGCCTCATCACTGGGAAGAGAAAACTGTTGAAACTACAAATACATTCAGGGTCATTAGATATTGAATGACAGCCTTGTAATCATCAAGGAAACCTTTTAGGCAATTGCTATGGAAAATTAATCAGGATTGTGAAAATCAATAACCCAGCAATTCACTTGGGACAGTATATTTGGAGAAAACTACCAAAGGTCAGACAGTTTAATACATTACGATCAAAGCACGACTCAAAATACAATAGCTAATATATTCAAAGAAGAATTCTTCATAAAGTGAAGCAAATTATGGAGAACAGTGATTATCCTCTTCATCAGACTAATGAAAAAAGAACAGTCTTCAATAAGAGGCTTCTCCAGGTCAGGTGTAAGACAGACCTCTAAAGAAGATCCTTCCTGCCTACAGCTACCGACACGTATAACACCTGTTTAAGAAATAATCTATGAGTTACTGCAACATTTATTTTCCCTTGGTATTAATAAAGCGTGTTTAAATTTGAATCAAATTGAATATTAAATAACGGTAATAACATGCTAAAAAAAACTGCGATGGACTGGCGACCTATCCAGGGTGGACCCCGCCTCTCGTCTGTAGACAGCTGGAGATAGGCACCAGCACCCCTCACGACCCCACTTGGGATAAAGTGTGTCAGAAAATGGATGGATGCATGGAAAATGGTAAAAAATAAATAAATAAATAAATACAAACAATCACTGAAGTTTACAGTACAAAAACGACTTATGTCCTGCAAGAACCTGAAATCTTTTGCAAAAGAATAAGGTAGCACAGACAAGAACAGCTTTATAAATAAAGGCGGCAAAGATGTTCATTTTTAGATCCATCATATCTGATTTTAATCCCATTTTTCCTTTAAACATTAAGCATCGCTCTAGCTCAGCTGTTAATGAATACTTTGAAACATGTACTTTAAGGGTTAAATTAACTGAGCTACAGCTTTTGTTTTAAAACATTTCAACATTGCAGCACTTCCTTAATAGGTTTAAAAAAGAACAACTTGATTTTCATCTTCTTCACCCTAAATGAGATCAAATGTAGTTTGTTTAATTTATTTCTGCAAACTTTGACAGTAAAAAGGTTTAACATCGGACACACTGGTAAACCCTGAGGAAGTGATTGATCAGATGCTCCCACCTCTTTCTTACCCATAATAAAAGTCCAGTTGTCCCACTCCATTCTGTCCCTGCTGACTCCTCTACTTTCATTCTTCCTTGTCTTTAGTTTGCAGTGTACTCATGGTGTAATCTACCGACCGACCGACCGGTCTCTTCCTCATACCACCTGCAGACACACGCTGTACCTCTGATCAGGAACCTGATGCTCTGCTAGCTAAAGCATGCGCACACACCTGCACAGATAAGGAGTCCTGTCCTTGATCTGCATCTGGTGCTCAAATTCAAGGGAGTTTATTTATGAGTTCACCACAGATTTAGTTCAGAAATGTTCAGAAAAAAAAAACTGTCATAAGTGGATGCACTGTATATACTATATATATCCCATGCACCTCTTTCTTCCTTTGATTGATTGACTTTATTGATTTCACAGTGGAGAAATTTACTCATTACATACATTACCTGCAGAACTGAAGGGAGAGTCAAACTGGGTCCCTTTTAAGCATAAACTTAAAGACTTTTTATTGAGAGGTCAGACATGTGAACATTAATAATCTAACTGACCTGATCTTGTTTCTGTGATGTTTTAGTGCGTAATTTGTTCTGTTGTTTCTTGTGTACAGTCACTGTGTTTTGTGTAAAAGCCTAACTGGGGACAGGCATTGAGAATTAGCCTTAGCTAAAATGTTTTAGTGTGTGACATGATTCCTGAAACATACTTGTCCCTATCAAATAAACGAATAAAATAAAATAAAATAAAAACATCAGCTCAAATAGTCAAAAAATGTGCCAATCAATAAAACCATTTATGGTTCCCATCAACTATGTTAAATAAGTCAGTCAGTGTTAAAGGAAAGTTTAAATATTTGAAAAACAAAATGTTGGCATTCATTTGGACTTTTATATTATATAATTAAAGTGGGAAACAAACCAGCCCTTAAAATTGGTGTTAATATCCATAGACACAAGGTTCACTGTATTTTAACCTCTCAAAACCCGCTTTAATGCTTTACAAATAATACCTCAGAATGCATGAAAATTACACTGGTTAAATGTTTACCAATATACCCATGTAAGGCATCGTCGGAAAGCTTAGATTCTCCACAATTCAACCACCAAGTTCACTTTATGGACACAGCGAGCACCAAAGCACAATTATAGCAGCATGTCGAAGTGTAGCATGACAAAGCAGCCACAACAAGCAAGCATGTCTTTATAACTGCTGTTCAAAAAAAGACTATTTTTGAGAATAAAAAAACAGCTTTGAGTCATGTTTGAACTGATGCAGCTTGGCCGTTTTACTCACCCAATCTTCATGGATATACTCAGAAATTAGAAGGTGTTAGCTTTTAAATAATGTATCACACATGTAATTTTGGCCTAAGTTATTTGCTTTCTCATTTGGGTATGCAAAATAGGCGAATTTCCCAGAAATAAGGTGGCTATTAAGAGGTTTAAGCAACACTGTTTTAAAGAAAACAAAATCAGTAGAATGATATTAACAGATCTATCCTGTATAATATGGAGCAAACAGTTTATGAGCCGCTGAGGAGAGAAAAAACAAACGGCTTTCCGCACTTTTTGACTAAGGGGTCTCCTGAATGGAGCAGTTAATCTATGAAACAAAAAAAAGAAGCTAGAGACCAGAGAAATCACATCGTTCTAAGAGGATCGACATCACAAAGCAGTTGAGCTCAAGGCCTCCATAGGCAACATCACCCTGTCCCCGTCTCCAAGGTAACAAAATGGCTGACCGGACAAGAAACAGCATTCTGCCAGAGAACCAGAGATCATCCTTGTGGGGCATGGAGTTTTATCAAGGTGAAATCTGATTGTTTTTATTATGAAGTACGATCCATAACGATAGATTTTTTTCCCCCAACATTTAATGATCATTTACTGGGAATGATGATTTATTCAAAAATGACTAAAAATGGGAAATAATCGCAAGAAGAGCTGGAAAGCATCTGACAGGAAAGATAAAATCCTGGCACCAGGAGTTCAGCCATGACAGCAGATAACAGAAGTACTGTAACCAATGAGGAGGTCCAGAAACTGAGACTGGCTGCAGAGCTGATTGGCTGATATGAGTACAGAGTTGACAGATCAGTAAAATGCAGTGCAGCAGAAGCATTTAACAGGAAAAAAGATCCAGCAAATGAAACACTTTTTATTGATACAGGAGGTTAAAAGCTAAATGTATAAACAAAGATCGGAAAGTAGCCTGCTAAGAGACACATAAGTAAATCATGTATTAATTGCTGTGGTAAAATACCAACAAATTATAGATTTTTAAAGCAATGGTAATTTATGCTAACTGGAGTGTCTTAAGAAGACTTTCTTTTTAATTTGTTGTGTATAAAAATAATTTTTTATTTTTAAAAGCCAATCCTGATTATTTTGACATCAGTCTAACCGATCGCCAACATGTGCTGCCGATATTTATGGGCCAATTCTTTGACCCCATATTGCTTTTCCTTTCTCCGTTTGCATGATAAAAATGACACAATGGTAGCAAATGTTACATAACTTTCAAACAACAAAAAAAGATTTATAAAAAACAAAAAACTAGACATTAACAATGGATCGGAAACCGAAAGAATCAGAATCAGAAATACTTTAATAATCCCAGAGGGAAATTACTTTTGTTACACGCTCCAGTTACAGTTTTTTTTACAATATATACACACATCAAACTATAAAATGTAATAAAGATAAAAAAAAATAAGAATAAAAAGAGATAAAATATATACACATATAGCTCTTCTGTATATATATATCTGTAGGTATATCTATGCATATGTAAAAACTAAATCCAAATAAAGTGAAAGTAAAGTGATAAATCCACGTAAAGTGATACGTGGCGTGCGGCGAAAGACCAGCAATGCACCTTTTAAGTGATCCAAAGGCTACTAGACGCACTAATGTGTTTCCCAAATCTTTTTCATCAGCCCCCCCTATTGTTTACAAGAACTCTCTAACCTGTTTCAACCTTTTCAGCAGCTGAACAAAGAAAAGTCCACAGCAGTACATTAAATAATGCAATAAAGTAAATTACCATCTACTTTAAATCGTTAAAATTACCATCTTTAATGTGCAATTATGATAAGTTTAGCTGTTTAGTCTACTGTGGAACAAATTTACAAATTGCTATCCATGAATAAATACAAAAATCTAAGTAATTTATTCAACTACCACACCTGCTGCAATTATACTGCACTATCGCTTTGGGTCGGATTAGAAACCATATGCATATATCGCACATACAAGAAAAAAAGGCAGAAATCAACCAAAATATCTGATGACTGTAGTGGTTTATCTCCATTTTTTATTTTCTAAGGCTTTACAGTTGATACTTACTATGAATAACTAATCCCATGTTTAGAACAAAAACAACAAAAATCCATGTCTTTTACATTCTGCTTAATAGACAAACTTATATAACCATAAATTTATTGAGACGACTTATCTTATCCCGGAGTGGGGTTTCAAAGTTTCATGGTAAAAGAAACTCTCTATTGAACATAGACTTTGTTAAAACTGAGCAGAAATAAAACGCATACAGTGTAAGATTGCAGCAACATGCAGGTTTGTCCTTCTATAATAATACAGCAGAGAAAGTGACAGGCACATTTCCTATCCAGGCAAGGAAAGGTAATAAAGTACTTCAAGAGTTAAATGACAGAGAGCATGTGGTTCACCCTGTTTAAAGATGATTTCCGTTCACAATGATGCTAGGTCAACAACT